AGTGATCGTACAGCAAACAAATGCTTGTTATTCTCGCTTATAGCAAATGAAAACCTCAAATAATGTTATATATGTATTTTGGGGCATAGAATCAGAATCTGCAATTTAAAATTAGAAATTCATTGATAAGTGATAGTTATGCAAATTTTTATATTTCGAATAATGGAAAAAGTGTTTGTACAGTATCAATTTTTGCATTATAATACGGTAGATTTTGGTTGAACTTCAAAGTAGAAGATTCTAAACTGTTCTAGAATATTCTCAGTAACTCTATTGCAACATTCAGTTCAAAATTGGATCATTCTGCAGTCATTCTGCAATCACTGTTCACTGATAACGCTTCTAATAATGGCTAGACATAAGGAAATAACTTGTGCTCAAAAAGAGCTAATTATTAAGCTATGAAACAATGGAAAAAGTTACAGAAACATCTCCAGTGACATAAACATACCTTTTTCAACAATTGGTTCATTAATTACAAGATTTAAAAGACACAATACTGTTGAGAACAAAGGCAGACCTGGTGCTCCCAGGAAAATCTCTCCCAGATTACAAAGAAAGTTGATGCAACAGGTCTAAAATAACCCAATGGCCATCAGACAAGACCTTCAGAATTATCTGAGTTTGTCAGGAGTTAACGTAACTAAGCAAACGATTAGTAACGAACTATGCAGAGACGGTATAAAGTCGCGCTCCCCAAGAAAGACACCATTCCTTTTGAAATGGCATAGAGATGTCAGGTTGAAATTTGCGACAGAACATAAAGATAAAGAAAATTCTTATTGGGAAAGAGTTCTTTGGACAGATGAGAGTAAAATTGAGTTGTTTAGTCACAATTCCCTCAATCATGTATGGAGGAAAGACAACAAAGCATATGCGCCCAAGAGCACCATACCAACTGTCAGATTTGGTGGGGGTAGTATCATGGTTTGGGGCTGCTTTTCAATGTGAGTTGTTGGCAAACTAGCAATTATAGATGGTAGAATGAATGCAAAAAAATATCAACAAATCCTAAGTGAAAATTTATCGCTTTCTGTAGAGAATTTTGGACTTCCTTCTGATTGGATCTTCCAGAAGGACAATGATCCCAAGCATACTGCTAAGAGTATGAGGAATTGGCTTGCTAATAACAGCGTTAACATCTTACAATGGCCAAGTCAGTCGTTGGATTTGAATCCAGTAGAGAATTTATGGTGGTTTTTGAAAAGTAAGATCCATGGTAGAGGTCCAATAAACATCAAAAACCTGAAGACAATTACTCAGGAAGAATGGGATAAAATACCTACTAAAGTATGTGAATTGTTAATTAAAGACTACAGGAAGATTGGTTGCTGTTGAACTTAATAAAGGCTTTGCTACAAAATATTAAATGGAGAAAACATGTTTTTGTTCTACTGTGCAATCATTTTTTAAACCCCTAAAAATTTAAATATTGCTATATTATCTTAACCATGGAATATTATTTAGTTTTATATGCATACATTTTTAGTATGCAACCTGATACAGTAGATATTTTTTCCAGTTTTGTTAATATGTTACAAATAAAAATATGAAATATTTTCATGTGTACAATCACTTATTCACCTCCATTGTATGTATTTATAATCTTTCTTCTCTAATTATGGACAATACATATTTTTTTGTAATAAACAGTTATTATTAAATATCATATTTAATATTTTATATATTATTAAGTAGAACAGACAATGAATGTTTCTTAAGTCTTTTGGTAAATTTCTTCTGGTGTTGACAAAGTTATTTGATGGCAGCTGGAGACTTCAAAAGCAAAAGATGTTCTAAGTAATTTTGGTGTTTTTCCAGGATAGAAAGTAGAAATTGAGAGTTTACCAGTGGAGTATTTATACTCTTAATGGTTCACAGTTTGAAATGAACACAGGTTCACATGCTGTGGTTGTGGGATGGAATTTATGCATAACATGATTTAAATGACCTTAATATATATAAAAATGATTTAATAACACTAGAGGCCCCTTTAAGATAGTTAACAAAGGTGTTCTAATATGTGCATGCTGAAATTGAGACATTTTTTTTTTATGTAAAATGCCTCCAAAATTTTAATATTTTTTTTGTAGTTGAATTGGTGCAGTATTGTTGTATAGTTGACCATAATTACAAATTGCACTCAATTTTGGCATGTTCCTTTACAAGTTTTCACCTGACATCAAATGACACCAGGAGAAAAATCATTAAAGGGCTTAGCAGACAATCCTTTTCTGTCCTATTTAGTAAAACATGTTCAAATAAAAGATTGCCGCATAAATATATGATGTTTAAAGTGTGTGTATATATATATATATATATATATATATATATATATATATATATATATATATATATATATACATATATATTATACATATATTATATATTATATATTATATATACACATACATACACACACACAAAGAGAAAGAACAGACAGATTAAGAATCCACAGTTCTTTAGCATTTACTTTTTTTTAAAAATGCTTGATACAACGCAGAACAAAATATATTTTTATTTAAAAATATTTTACATTGCTACATAAAAATTTCTATGTTTCAGAACTTAAAATTGTTCTATCATCAGGTGATGTTAGGTAACTTACGATGAAAATGATTTACTTTTGAAAACAGAACACCATACGGTAGCTTATTTAAGAGTTAAAAAGGAGGGAGGAACAAGATTTCCAAATTTTGTGGGTATGTCCATGTTAACCAATCAAAAAGTCTAAAGCAGGAAAGTGAGAAATATTGGTTGGAGGTTAGGGTTAGTTGTGTTATTCATTCATATCTAAATGAATTGACATTTTTAAGATGTGTTACCATTAGTTAACATCTGATTGTGAGTGTAAACACTGAAGTAGTCAGAGAGATATGTTTAACAAAAGGTTAATTTTAAAGAATTTAAAAAAATTTTTTTGTATATACTTGAGAACTATCTTAAAGGGGCCTCTAGTGTGATTAAATCATTTTTATATATATTATTTTGAACCTAAAATACAATACTTATGTTAAATGGGCAATAAAACATGAGCTTACAGTCAAATCACGCTGAAACACCGGTTCTCGTACGATCACCGAAGTTAAGCATCGTAGAGCCAGGTCAGTACTTAGATGGGGGACTGCTTGGGAACACCTGGTACTGTAAGCCCCCAAAGTCCAACCCTTACCTCACAGTCGGTGGAGGGGGGGGGGGGTGTAAACGGTAGTGTCAGAGCTATGCCGCCCGGAACTTTGTTCCTGGTAGGGCCACCCAAGGCGGACAGGTCTGACACACACACGCCGGCTAACAAGGGCTTTGTTGAAAATCCAAGGAGCGTCTGCATCGGGTAACCGGGCGGCTTCTGGTCGCTCCTGTCTCTGCGCCTGTGGGAACCCGGCAAGCAAGAATGTTATCCAGTAGGCCTGGGTACCCTACTTGTAATTTATCCCAAGAATCTTCTTCTCATAACAGGAAGAAGCCGGCTCAATCCACCCAGGGTGAATGCCGCATCAGTACAGTAATAAAACATGGCAATATTAAAGTTTAAAAAAAAAAAAAAAAAAAATCAAGGAAATAAATAAATAAATATTATATGTATCATAATATATTAATAAAATAATGGATATATGATTGCAATACATAGATTTTCTAAGAATTTTATTAACTACTAGCAGCATGGCCCGGCATTGCCTGTGCTTGATTCAAAAATCGTACGACTCATACAGCAATTGCTATCACTTGACTTAAAATATTTTTGCCCTTACTTGCCTTTAAAGGAGTGCCCTTTGCCGTGCTGATGTTGCTATATGTCTTACTTCTTGCCTATCTTACACTGCGAATTTTTTCTAAGCTCTATACTAAACATTAAATCTGTTATGAAAAAAGAACTAAACAAAATGAACACAAAACGATCAGCTTTAAAAAAGGACTTGTAACTGGAAAAACCAAATGAAAAAAGAATGTTAATAACAAATACTTTTTCACACCCAACCTAGTTCTGTGGAATCAGAATCAACGTTGAGTTTAAGCAAGCAAATGAGCCAATTGGAGTAAAATGCCATGCAGATTTAAATTTTTCCCACTTGTGATGAATGCAGTTATCGATTTTTTGCATGCTAGCATGCTAGTTAACATTCGTGTCAGTCAGCTGTTGGCTCTCACGCTGGCCAATAGAATCTTCCTGCCTATTCGTGGCAGCCAGCTATAGGCTCTCACTCTGGCCAATAGAAAATGGCCGCAAACTACATGAAAACTGCCATAGAAGCATGAAAAAATCTATTATTTCCACTATCGATGGGAGTTGGGAAATGCAAAGTTGGTCTTGGCCTTCCTGCTAACTTGGAGCATGTGCATGTAAATTTTGGTGCAAATCCATCGAAAATTGCGGCCGTGCATTCGTCACACACATCCTGCCTTTTATAGATTAACTATATATATATTTTAAAGTAAACATTATACAATGTCTACAAATTACTGTTAATTCATTATGTTGATTTAGATCATTATTTTTAGGAAACTTAATAATATGCAACTTTTAATGTAGACATAGGGGACATGGGTCATTTAAGGACTTACAAATTCTGTTTTTTTAAATAAAAATGTTATTATAATGTGTGTATGTGTGTTTGTAGGAAAAATTATAGAAAATTCAAGTCATAAAATTGTGTTGAATTAAAATTTTAAATGTAAATAATTTTAAATTTACAGTTGAGTATATAACTGATAGTGTACTATATTTTTAGTTGGTTTCCCAATCACATTTTTTTAATTTTTTTTTTTTTTTTAGAAAGTACTATAGTTTAATGAGTTTAAATTTTTTAAATTTAACATTTTTTTTCAAACTCTTAACAACACCCTTATTATTTTTATCATATTTATTTCAAATATAAATTATGCCTTATAGTGAAAACAACATGATTTTTTTTAACAGAAAGCAAGTTACAAAAGAAATTCTAATTTCTTTAACAAATCCCGTTTAATACACGAGAAAAACTCATGCGTTACCAATTACAAACCTTAGTTTTCCAAGAAAACGGACCAGAATGCTCATCAGGCCATGTTTGACACTGGAAAAAAAAAATTTATTTTTTTTTAAAGCTACTGTGAATTTATAAATTTTTGACAACAAGGATAAAACTAATGCATTTAGTAACAACATCACTCTCAAAAATGAAAAAAAAAGATAACTTTAAATATATGGACATCTGAAATTGGCCAAAATTCCATGTTCATGTTAAAAATAAACCAAAAAATAATGACTCAATAGAGTGGTGATTTTCTAAGCGTGGCACAAGGCCAAAAATAGGGGGCACCCAGTGAAGATGGAACTCACTGCTCAGTTGTAATTGTTCTAGAGGGACAAACTTGCTAATTATTACACCACATCAAAGTGCCCCATAATGACTCCACAGAGTTTATTAAAAGTAAAGCTTTTATTGTTTTAAAGAGTAGAACTTAAGGAATATTTCACATTCTTTATATTTTGTTGTTTTGAACTGGAGTTATGACATTTATTCATTGGTTCTGGCAAGATATTAAATGTTCCAATTCTTTTCCAGGCATACATTTCTTTTTATTTATTTACTGAAGATCATGGAGTCATTAAAAAGAAAGAAATTTCTTTTGGTAGGTGATGGGATAGTTTACAGTATTTTAGGTTAAGCAAAGTTGTGCTTGGTCAATACCTAGATGGGTGACAGCTTGGGAATAACAGGTGTTGTAAGATTGGATGTGTGGGTGATGTAATGGTACAGCTTTGTTAATAAGATATCCAAGTTCAAATTCCAGTTGGGTTTGTTACATTCACTTATGCACAAATACTCTTGGGAAAGATATGAATCCACCTCTTCTCCCCTAGCTAAGTGTTAATTAGTAAGACATGTATCACTAAAAAAATATTTTCTGGCTTTAAATAACCTGGACAGGGTTGGTAAGCTGTAGAAAACAAATCAATCAAATTCATGCCAACAGATGCTTTGCTGCCTGAGTAAAGCTGAAAATGTCAAGGTGCTTGGAATTATTTCAGTTTTTGTTTTCTTACTGAAGAATCAAATGCACTGTCAATTTGATGAACACTTATTTTGGATTAGAGCCAATAATAACAATTTTAATAGATGATCATTTTGAGTTTTATATTTACAGCCAATTCATATTACAAAAAATTATAAAATTAGAATTAGTAGGTAAGCTTGATTTTTTGCAGGGGGAAGAATCAAACCATATAATAATTATCAATGTGTATTTATATATTTCCTGTCCCATCTGTAGTAGGAAGGGAGGTAAATCAACTTAAGTTAGTAAATTTATGAGTGATTACTTCACTTAGTTATTTTAATAATCTATATAAATAAAATATTTATCTGCATTTAGACAAAATTACTTCCTGAGCAAAATGAACCCTTTAATTAATCAGTTCCTTTACCCCTACCTTTCTTAGATTGTAGTCTTATTTGTTCAAGCCTTTCATATGAGGCACTCAGATACCCTTGTCTATTAAATGATTGTCTTGCTTCAATTTGGCCTTGAAGTTTTGCTGTCATCGTCTTTGTTGTTCTGTTGCTAATCTTTTCTAGATATTTCCATTTCAATGTTATATTAAACACAAGAAAAGATATTGAGCAAAAAGCAATTTATGTAATACCAGGAGTAATCAATGAATCATAGATACCATTGAACATCTAAAAAATATAAAGGGAACAGATTAATTAAATGGTTCATTGGCTTCTATTTAAATTGTGAATTCTTTATCTCCACTTTATTGAATCTCAATACATTGTTTCAAAACTTTTATTTCATTATATCTCACAATATAAAACTTTCTAACAATTGCTGTCATTTTTGATGACACGAATATACCAGTATTAGAACAACACTGAACTTATACTGGGAACAAACTGCCTACATAAGGATAGAAAATTGAATTCATTAAATACGCAAAAATAGAAAAGAGCACAAGACAGGGATATGTCTTCTCATCAGACTTACTCAACCTTTATAGTGTGGTGATCCTGAGAGAATTAGAATCCTACCAGGATTCATTATTGGTGGCCACAATCTTAACAACATTAGATATGCAGATGACATGTCAAGGAAAGCAAGAAGAAAGGACTAAGCATCAACTGTAAGATAGATAGAATGGTTGTCAGCAAAAGAAACAGCCCAACATGTGAATTACAAATTGGAGATTACAAAATTTAACAATCTAAGTAACTATTTAAGTATCTAGGAAGTGTTTTAACAGAGGATGGAAAGTGTGACACTGAAATCCAAAGGCACATTGTGATAGTGAAAGGTGCCTTCCAAAAGTTAAGCGAAGTATTAAGAAACAAGAAAATATAATTAAAAACAAAGAACTGTCATGCAATATCAGTCTTACTATATGTCATCATCACAGATGGAGAAGGGATTTGAAGCAACAGAAATGTAGATCTACAGAATAATGCTGAGAATACCATAGACTGAACATGTGAGCAACAACAAAGTTTTAGAGAAAATGGAAACAAAAAAGATACTTATACATAGCATCAGAAAGAGAGAGTTGAAATTTTTAGGTCACATGAGGAAAGAAGGCTTGAAAAATTTGACACCCACAGGACATATTGAAGGCAAGAGGGACAGAGGAAAGTACCTAATGAACTTGTGTAAATGGTTGGCAGAACAGAGATTAGGAGAGATAGCAAAATGACAATCTTTACTAAGGACTACAAAGACAGGAGGTTGTGGCTAGGGTCATGTTCGCTCACGTCATGAAGGGACATAGCACATAGAAGAAGAAGCAGATAGAATAGTTTTGGCACATATAGTATAGTGGTCTGAAATTCTTGTCGCCCCTACATGATATAATTTTCTGTTTCAGATGGCTGATACAAGCTCCTAGTTTGTTTGGTAGATAGAGGGTGACAAAACTTTCGGACCACCCTGTAGATTAAAAAATTTTGTAGTAAACGTTTTTCCAAAAATCTTCATAGAAGATTATAATGATTACAATGCATTGTTAAATTATTATTTTTTACAGCAACATAGCATAGACTAGAGTAAAGGGCAGTTTTAAGGTCAAGATTGTTTTTCCTTGGGCAACTTTCCATTCAGACAGGTTGAGATCAATAAAGCTAAATTGGGGCCAATTCTTGCCAGCCTCAAGAAAGGCTCAAGCATGAATGTGTGTATGAAAGTTTACTATGCATTGGCCATTGAGTGACTATTTATATCACCTATGACTAATGATTATTTTAGAAAAAAAAAAAAAACAAAGAAAGAAAAAGTTCCTTATTGTCACCCATAATTTCCTCTCAAAATATGAAAATGTCTAAAATCTGTACTCAGGGCAAAATAAATAAATTTTGAAAAGGTTAATTTGCAAGAGTGGGAAGGAAATTCATACCAGTGTTTTTATTTTATTCAGTACAAATACAATTATTTACATTTCTTAAAAGATTTGATGCATTGCAAAATATTTTTTAAATTTTATTCTTGTTGAAAACAAAATTTAAAACACAGTTTAAATAAAATATATTGAAATATTTATTTTAACTTGTAAAAAGAATTTCAAATACTAAGGTAATTTAATCAGAAAATTGATTCATTTTTTTTTAATGAGTATGAATCCTCCTCTACTCAACAACAAATTAAAAAAAAAATTAATTTCTTTTTTTCACTATGAAAATGGATATTTTACTAAAAGGCGAAATGTTAGCTGACTCATGATTTGAACAAATAACCTACTTTAATTAGAAAATTTAGATTCATTATTTTTATACCTTCTCTCTGGGATCCAAACCATTTCTTTTTTTTTTTTTTACCTTAGGTATTAAAAGTGAAAGGATTTTTTTTTACATCTAATTAAAAATAAAATAAAACAAATAATATTTAAAATACCCATAGTGTGCAATGTGCATTATAAAAATGCCAGTTTAGGCTTTACTTTTTTTTATACGAAATAAATTTAATTTAAAATATTTAGTAATGCCAATTTAAATGAATTTTAAATTCGAGTTTATTCACAGAAATTATGAACAGATTTTCTTTTAAATTGAACAAGAATGATCTTTCTTTATACACCTGTCAAAAAAGGAAATAGTATATTAGTTTAAAATTATCATGTATTAAAAAGGTTTGAAAAAACACACACACACACAAAAATAAAATAATTTAATTAAAAAAATTGAAAGCAGGCTAATTGTTCCGGGAATAAAGTAGGATTTTTATTTAAAAACAAAACCCACTATTTGAATTTGAGCAAGTCGTTAGAGTTATGTATCTGGTAGTTTTATTTTGTTATTTTTTTAAAAAAATTCACAATAAATAAATTAAATATTTTCAAATAAGAATAAAATCATAGAGTTTATCAGAGAGTCGAGTACCTTTGAGGGTGTGTTATTTTTCATTTGAAAAGTAGGTTAATTTTACCGTACGCGGAGGAAGTAAAAGAGTTTTTAAAAAACCTGAATCTGCAATTATTATTGTTAACTTACATCATTATCATAGTCGACGACAATCTTTTCTCCACACTGGACGATATGTCTGGGGAAAGAATTAGGGTAATCATTTGTTTTTGTCACATTGGCATAACCGTCCCAAATAATGGCAGGAACAGCGGCATTATTGAAGGCAGCTTCTTTTTCAGACCAACTCATTTGGGCCCATTTTTCACCATATCTATCTTTTACAAACTCTTGCTCTTGCATAATACGCCGACACATCATATTATTTGATGTAAAATACGATGTAATACAATTTTCGATTTCCATTCTGGCGAATGGGAAAATAAATCTCTAAAATTCAATAAAAGTACTTCTGGCTCATTCAGAAATTAAGACGTTCTGTTTGTTGTCAGCAGCAAATATTTTTTGTAAATGTAAATACAAAAAATGAACAATATTAATATTGCATTTTATTAAGTAAAATAATTTTTAAAATTAATTTAATTTTTTTTTTCATTTGCAAGAATTCAGGCTATTATATTAACGAGTATAAAATTTGAAGAACCAATCGATTTTTATCCAATTACTTCATTTCATGCAGGAAATTTCTTGAGGAGTGTTTTAAAAATGGCAGCGCTCATGTTTGAGGTAGACTTGTGTTTTTAATTTTATTTTAATTTACAGTTGTTATCTTACTAGTTTCATTTACAACCAAATTCATCGACCACTAAAGTACACACGTAATTCTCCAGTAAAGCTTTTCCCAAAAATTATATGTATATATATATATTTTCTGTATAAAAATATAAAGATTTTTTTTCTTGAATATATACTACAGTTTTTCCTCCTTGCTTTTTTAGCACGAGTGCAAAATAAATTCGTTGTATACTAAATCAGTTACTTGTTTGTGTATCTGTAGTTACTGAACTATTACAATAATTTAAGTATATAAGGAATAATTCATATTATTTCCGTGTTCGCATTAGGAATATTTGATAGTTTAACGAGACATAAATAATGTAAGTAAAACGAAACAAATGTATTATTTAAATTTATTGTTCAAAAAGACAAACTTTTTTTTAGTGAAATACATGAAATAGAAAAACTTTTTTTTATCTTAAAATATGATGTTTCTAAGTCATTAAAACTGTGTTGATAAAATTTATTTTTATTTTTACACTTTCATTCATTCATTCATTCATTGTTATTCGGAAGATGATAAAAGATAAGCTAGTTTTCTTTTGAGTGCCAAACTGTCGAATTCAGGTACAAATAGTCACAGGAAAGGAGAAGATTAGCACACAGTAGTAAATTGAAAATTCAAGGAGCACCTCAAATTAATATCGAAACTTTCTTCACATAAAGTCAGCTCTTATGGGATACTAAACTACTCCCTAACTATGAAATTGAAATATCAAATATGTGACCGCAGCATTGTTAGAAAACGTTTTGTTTTAGAGAAGTTGAATCGATTTACCTCCCACGAAAACGCTAAAAAATCAGCATACCGTGATGAAAAAAAAAAAAATGCACCAAAACGTAATGAAAACATAGTTTTATCGTCAAAATTGTAATAATGTTAAGAAAGAGGAAGTATCAAAGTATTTTTTGATTATTTAATTAATTTTTTAATCCTTTTTAATTTTAGTACATTAGGAAAGTGTCAGCGGTTGTACTAACTTTTCATAGCAAATTTTAGCCTCTTTTTGCGGTGACAGAAACATTAATTTGGAAATTCTTGCAAAAATCAAATAATTGTCGGATTTTAATGACATTAAGAACTTAATTTTTTATATTAGAAAATCTTGGTATACATACATGCATACATAAAACACATGTGTCAGCCCCTTCCTTACTTAATTTAATTTTATACATGAAAACTTGAAGTTCAACGAGAATTTAATTAAATAAAAAAAAAAAGCAGAATTCTTTGAAGAATATTTTAAACCACCGATATTTTTTTTTTTGTAAAATCAGACCCAGTCTTACCGAAAATATCTGAGTCGAAAAATAAAAAATGCAATAAAACTAAGATTATTTAATTAGAGAAGCTTTTAATTGCTTTTATGAATAAAGACAGTATTGTCTGAAAAAAAATTTTTTTAAAGAAAAACGAATTTCTTCATTTTTTACAATTTTAAATTCAATAATTTATAAAGTTTTTAAATCTTTTAAAATTCATTTTCAATGAGATAATTCTTAGGAAATATTGTTAAAACTGTGTAAAAGTAAAACATGTTGCAATCTGACCACCCCGAATATTTTTAAAAGAATTTCGATTTGTTTTTGTATGTGCTATGTGCAGAATTTCTGAAGTATGAATGTACAAACTAAAACAGATAAAAATCTAGCATTTAAAGGTCACGTGTCTTACGGCGAAAAAAATCTCAAACTTTATCGTATGCTCCACTATACTTAACTATGAACATGTTTTTGGCTGTCAATCAAATGTAAATAAATCGATTAACTAACATCAGTAAAACAAGACCCTGTAGTTAAGAAATATTTCTATACAACATTTATGCTATAAGTAAATAATATTTGTTTCAAATCAGATTTAATTTAACTTTAAATTTGCTAATTTTCCTCAAATAATGTTTCAGAAATATATATTTTATTTTTGCAAGACTTTTAAAATTGAGAATTAACTTTTGTTTACAAATGTGTCAAAAATAGCCATTTTGATTGATTTTAATGGAAAAAAATTAATTCCAATTAATATAATTTCTGTTTGAAATACACCACAGAATATTTTGCTTACTGGAAATAGTAAATTTGTAAAATTCTTTAGCATTCAATTAAAGCTAAAATGAAAGTTTCAAGAAAGCTTTTTCATTTTTAAAAATTAATTTTAAACCTTATGTATACCAAATTAGTGAAGTTACTTAACTATGTACTTCTGTTGCAAACAAAATGAACCCATAAACTCATGAAGTACCTGACAGAAATAGATGATTTTATTACCAGCTACTAATTGGCACACCTTTTTAAAGAGAACTAGTTATATTAATGTTCATTGGTATTTTGTTAAAATATTGTATAATCTTTCTTATTATAAAGATTATTATTGTATAATCTTTAGATTTTAGAACTGTAAAAATATTTTTAGTCGGTAATGGATGCAATACTTAATTTGTCATAAAATGTCACATTCTGTAAGAACATTTTTTTTTTAATGACATCTTCCATATGATGAAGATATTATTCAAAAAGTTTTTTCATGTTTGCAAAATTTAACATTTTTTTTAACTTTTAGTTTGCAAATGTAACTGAATTGAGTGAGATGCCAATTTAGGTACCACCACAAACTTCCTAAAAAAAGAAAATGACAACACATTTTAAATAATTTAAATTATGCCTTTGATAATTGTTAGAGATAATAAATTGGGGTGCTAAACTTCCAGATTGACAAAATAGCATCTGTATGACATGATTGTGGTAGACCAAATTTCATCTTTTTAGTTTTGTTTCTTCACGTGTGAATTGGTGTAGTTGAATCTTTTGAAATTTGTTTCCATTAATCATTTTGATATTCTTTTCTCTTTTATTTTTAACAGAATGAATTTTTCAGTAAAAATGAAGGTACCTTACAGGAAGCTACTAAAACATTAGTTGACATTGGATGCTGCACTTACTGTGTGCTTCGCTTTTTGGGCGAAAAGCAACTGCGATTTTACCGAAGAAATGAAAAGGTGCAGTACATAATTTTGGTTGTTAACATATAAGCTATAACTTGTAGTTATTTACCATCAGACTAATGTACTTATCTTTATTGTACTATAGTATTTCAGCTGTTGTGATCTCCAGTCTTCTTCAGGTATCTGTTGATCTTGATAAGCTTTAGGGAATTTCGAATTGAACCTTTTATTTAATCTATAGGGATAGATTGTTCTCATTCCACTGGCCTTGCTTAGGGGCATGTCTCATCTAGACAAAGCATTAGTTTATCCAGTGGTTCTCAAACTTTTTTTCTCTGGGCTGCATTTTCGGAATGAAAATAGACTCACACCTCACCAAATTTTATGCACATTTAAAAATAAAAACTGAGAGAATTGTAAAGGGAGATAACTGCGGGATCAAAGTCATAACATTATCATTGATAATTCTTTCCTCCAATTTGTGGAGCCTAGTTATTATATTAATATTTGATGCAAAAAATATCACAATGATAAAATCGGTCTATAATTATTTATAACTATTTATACTGGAACTTATTTGTGCGATTACAAGTAATCCATAATAATATTTTAAAATTTGAAATATTTATTTTTGGCATATGAACTTTTTGAAACTGTTTCTAAATCTTTTATTGTCTTTCAATCATTCCACCTCATCTGCTATCCTCTTGCGCTGCACCATTTGGGAATCACTAGTTTAATCAAAAGTGTGTCAAAAGAATGGCTTTTCTCTTTACGCTACTATTGCTGTATAAACTCTCAACAATATTGTTTCCAAAAACTATGTTTAAAATTTTAATAATGAAAAAATGTTACACACCATTTAGCTGTTAGATTGTTTATTTATGAGATTTATTTTATATTTACAAGATTAAAAATGTGTGAACCAACTACAATGCAATATTTATCATTTACCATATTATAAAGATATATGAAAATGAATTTTTTTTATTTTTAAATTTATAAAAAATTATAAAATTATGTAAGCCAACTATAATGAAATATTCATTATTAACCATTTTATAAAGTTTTATTTGTTATTTTATGAAGAAATAAATATGAAAAGAGATTTTCTATTCATAAATTTATAAAAATGTCTGAACAAGAAAATTTAATGATGGGTAACTAATTAAAATTTTGTGAGTTTCGTTAGTTCGTCCATCACGCCCTCTAAATAGCCATATGTTGACTGATTGAAACCAAATTTTGGGGAGAAGTGCAAATAGATAAGGGGATACAATGTACAGTTGGTTTTACTAGGATGCATAAAAACTGCAAGGTAGGGTTTTTGTCAGTCTTTTTCAAACAAATCAACTTATTTAAATTTCATCAATTGCTTTGCAAAATTGAATGAAATGTAGAGTTTGTAAATCTCGACAAAAAATGTTCGTCATAACTTCAAAAATACTAAATACTGTGAGGATTTTAAAAAATTTTAGTTTTGAAAAAATGCATTTTTCAGGCATTTCTTTCATTTGCTATCACTACATGAATTCCCTAAAATGTGCTGGGAGCATCTTTTCCTCTAAACTATTCTTTTAATTTTAGATTTTAGATGAGATGAAAAACACTCAATATTTTAAGTGTGTATCTCCCTATTCAAAGTGGACAAAATTTTACTGGGTATTTCTATTGATTAGGCATCTTTGATCCTAGATCATGATTATAAAAAAAATTGGAAAATTAAAACAAAAAGTAATCTGAGATACAAAATATATAATGCCTAGAAAAATCATATGTTTATTTAGATTTTCTTGTCCAATAGTTCAGACATCTTTTTTGAATGAAAAGATTTGTTTTCATATTTCTTTATAAAATGGTAAATAATAAATATTGTAGTTGGTTCACATATTTTTATAATCTTTACATAATCTAACAAATAAATAGCTTTTTAAAACAATAGACTTTTCCAAGAGAGTATACAGTAATAGCATTAGGAGTAACCCACATTGTTTTATTTTTTTTTTCAGATCTGAAAGTTAAACTTTGCCTGCATTTGACTATTATTTTAGCAATGTTTATATATATTAATGCTTTCATATACCATTTATTTATTTAAATAAAAATTTTAAAAAACTAATTAATTTTAAGTTGTGATTACTACAGAATTAAATTTATAAATATCAGAAAAAATATTTTGAAATGTATGGAGAAAATATCTTTGAAGTAAATGTTAGCTCATGCTAAATATATTAATATACTAAATACATAATTATATTAATTTGGCTTTTATCACAAGACTCATATCTGTAATTGCCTCCAGTTGGGGTGAGAAAAAATTTAAGAACAATATTTATTCTGGGTGGCACTCAAAGATTACCATTTGCAATGCAATGGCCACCTGAGAAAGGCTGAGGAACACATTGGTGGTTTTTAATCATTAGAAAACCTACTTTCTATATTGAATCTGCATGTCTATATTTTTGGTATTTTCTTTTCTCCCAAACTTTTTTATCCCACTGATGATTTTTCTTTTCTTTGATTCCCATTTGCAGACCCAGACTGAAATTCTTATTGAACAGTTATATTATGGTGGAAAACCAGTTGAAAACATTTCCAGGACAGAAAAACCCTGCATTACATGTTTGGGAATTTTACAAAAATATTGCACTGAAGCATTTTCACAGAAGGTATTTGTTAGACTTTGAAAACAAGACTTCTCTTTATTTTGATGAAAAAGCATGGGTAAATATATATTTTGATCACTTGAGTAGATCAGTTTATATTAATATCTGATAGAATCTCAAGTCTCATCACTAATTCCCAATGCTCTTTGGGGTTCAAATCTTTATTATTTTTCTGTTTAGACTTGTGTTATGATTCCCTACTTCTGTCTCATCTGGGAACTCTCAAATAAAGCAAAAATTAATTTCTTGTAGAAAGTTTTCTCTGGCAATACGTATTGAGTTTTAAAGAATTGATTTAATGAAAATACTTGAAATTTTTAAACACTATAAAAATATTCTTTCAGGGTAAGACAAATACTTGTTACAAAAACTGCCAGAAAAGTGGTAAAATCTATTTTTCTGTCTGAAGTTTTAAAATAAAGAATTTCTGTTATACACAAATTCATTAGCACTTTGTAGACATTTTCATCTCAGTGAATTATTTTCTTTTTTAATTGTGATCAGTTTTGTTATGATGAACAACCAATGCATTTTGTGTGTTGTTTTTTAAAATGTCTCTTTTGTGTTAATATAGACTTTTGTTTAAACTTCTTGAGGTTTGTCCAATATATTCTTTCTGGCAATCCTGGAAAAAGAATATAGATGAATTTGGCTAGATTGCAAAAATTCTTTTGAAAAGTTTTGAAACTGCCAGCATCTCACATTCATATGCATGTGTCATCATAACAGTGTCAACAAACCCAGTTTGATGAAGTCCTAACAAGTGAACTTTTTTCCATTTTGTCTTACATTTTCCTTATATACTAGCTTAAACATTGGATTAATTGAAAAGTCTAGTTAAATTACTTAGCATCCTCCATAATTTACCTTAGACTTTTCAGTTAGCCTAATGTATATTTATGAGCAATCTTAAATTTAACAATTTTGAAAATTAATAACATTTTTACTTTTTGTTTACAAAAAGTTGTTGGAAAATAAAATTCTTACATTTGCTTTGATAATATCTGTCAGAACAAAACACATTGACTAAGTTTTCTTTTTGTTTTTATTCATGAAGATATATAAAGGAATATAAGATATTGCACATTGAGTGCTGGTTGGTGTTAATAAAATAGTGCTTGATGTAATATAACAGAGGTATTAAGTATATATTAATAAATATACATATTGTCCTTTACTGCTAGCACAACTTGGAATTTCATGCACAATGCAATTTTCAGGTGCTGAGTAGAGACTGTTAGATAATTTAGATTTTAAAAATATCTGGCGCACTATTGCTATACCTTCTAGCATTCTTCAGTTGTTTATTGCATTTGGTCTTTGTAACATTGCTTCTGCTTATGTAATGTTCCTGTTTTATGTTCTATATTGTGTAGAACAAACAGAATAAGCAATATAAAGGCCAAATGTGAGAAACACTTGAATAAGCTTAAAACATGAATAAAAAAATAGCCAAGATGAATTACTGTACAATCAAAAGTCAGTATAGCTAAATTAATTAAAAATATCAGATTATTTAACTAAACAGTGACTATCTTAAAATACTAATATTAACAGTCAAATTCATTTACAAATGCAAGCCATTTGTGTCTGCTTATGCCTGCCAATAAGATTACTTACAGCTGAAAGTAGTTGATGAGTGAAGCTGAGTTTAGCAACAAGGAGTTTTTTGCTGTCATTTGTGCAATGCATTGCAAAATAATTATTGTACAGCAAAATCAATTCTGAGTTACTTTCTTCCAAACTTTAGCAGTAAACATTTCCCCATGATATCAGTACCTTGTGAGAAAAAAAATTTGTTTCGAGGCTCATTCAGTGACAATAAAATCTTATGCTTTAAAAAAACTGTTTGAGTGATTCAGCTCCTTCAACATGTAGAACATGGTATGAAAATTAAACTTTAATATAAAACTTTCTTTTTTTTCTTATTTTTATTTACAGATTATTGAAAAAGTGAAGTCCTCTGGTTATGTCTTTTCCACTTACTTCTGCTCGTTGATGCTTCCTGTATCTCTGATTGTTAGACAGGTAAGTACATTGAATTTCTGCTTTCATTATCATTATTAAAAGCATTAAATGAAAAGAAGATTGTAAATAATTAAAAGATATCTCATTTTATTTAATAGTCTTGGGTATGATAAGCTACATCTAGCAACAAGGCCTCTGATCAGGAGGAAGCGCATCTTAATTGCTGTTGATCTGGGTTGGCAGCACCTGTTAGGGTCCCAGCTATGGGCAAATAGTGAACCCCCAAACAAAAATCAAAGCACTAGGAAAATATAAAAATACCAGCAATACATTTTTATAGTAAAATTACCAACAGTACATTTTATAGGCACGGTGGAGTAATGTATAGCAGCTCAGATCAAAGAGCCGAGTTTGAATTCCAGTCGAATACATTACATTCACTTATGTGCTAATACCCTTGAGAAAGGTATGGATCCTTTTCTTCTAAAGGTATGGGTAAATAGCAGGACAGACTGGGTTCTATAGCCTTGGATGGCAACTGGTCTACCGCAGAAAGAAATGGCAACTAACTGCAGGAAAAAAATTTGTCTCATCAGTCGCGTGACTGATGAGGCAGATTTTATAGTTGAATTACCAACAAATACATTTTTAAATCAAAATGACCAACAGTACATTTTAAAAAACAATAAAATAGTATAAAAATACCAGCAATATATTTTTAAAAAAAAAACTATAAACAATACATTTTATCATCTATGAATTATATTTCTAAAAAAAAACATGTCTACAGTGAAAGTATAAAATTATGTACAAAATATCTGTTGTTGATGGCATAAAATTGTGTTCAAAATATATGTAGCTGAAGTCTTAAAAATGCATACAAAATATTTAGATTTTGGCATTAAATAACCCATAGAGGTGTTGATATGTCGCTAAACAAAAACAACCAAATGCTTCATTTAAACAAAAGATGAAAATATAAATTTTCAATCTGTTGGGATAACTTATTTTGACTTTGAGAAGGATTGATCTCACTGTGTTGACATTTGTAAAATGCTTTTTTTTATTTTTTAAATATAAAAATATATATTTAAAAGAAATATTTGTATCTTATTTTTCTTGCAGCATTCTGTTTACTTACAGCTGAGAGAAAAATTTAGGTAAATATTTGTTTTACTATTCAAAGCTTTTGTGTAAATCTATACATTAAAGAGTTTTAAATTCTTTGTAAAATTGTAACATGTATTTGTAAGCATTCATATTTTTTTTTTTTTTTTTTTTACTTTTTTTTCTAATATTAAATTTCACTATATTCAGATTATTGTTGTCATCTTTCTTGTTATTACAACATTTCGGCCATTGTCTCCTCTGGCAGATATGGATCTGGGTAACCTACAGAGAATTTTGAGTCAACACTTTAAGCCAATAGGTTATTGTCCCATAGAACAATTCACTGTAGCCTAGTAGATTAAAGTGTTGGTTTGTAAATTTAATGACATAGTGTGAGTTCAATCTCTGGGCTGGTCAGTGTGTACTTGGTCTCTGGAAATGGGCATGCAGTAACTGGGCAGTTCTAAAAATAAGAACTAGATGATATCCCTTGATGTGGGCATTGGAATAAGAACTGTCTACCCCTATAGATTAGATAAAAAAAATACCCAGATTGATATACACCTGATGTAGGCTGAAGGGCACAATAGTTGAAACGTGATCACAACAAAGATGAGAACAATAATCCAAATAAAAATATTGTGAATAATAACTCCTTGAACCAGAAATTCAAACAAAAATTATTAAATTTCATCTAATACAAGGCCCGAGAGCCAGTCAAAGTAGATGGTTACAGTCAAAATGGAAATGACAAATGAGTTGTGTGATATCAATGGAAGAGGTGGTGATGGGAAGTAATGGAAAGATGATGATTGACTCTTGACTTAATGTGTTTAAGGAGTCTGTTCCAAAAAAATAAAGTGTCATTTCTTGGGAAAAGGTTGTCTGAGTGGAATTATCTTTTTACATTTTGAACACTGATGAGAATGATTTTATTCTGTAGCATTTACTAGTTGTAAATGTCTGAACTGGTGAAACTAAAGAATAGAACTCATCTGAACACTTGTCATGAAAATAATGATCAAGCAGTGACAGGCATATAAAGTTGTTTGGGAAAGATGTTGAAGAATAGAAAATAAGTCTTCCCCACAAGGTCACATGAACAATTTTGGACTCTATCAAGGCTGAAAGTGAGGATTTGGCAGCTCCAGAAATCAATTTAAAACCAATCAATTTCAATTTTTAAGGAATTTGCTACACTCAGTGAAGTTTTGAATGAAAAATAGATGGAGACCTTATCAGTATTTTGAAACTTTAAAATGTCTTTTATTTTTTAAAAATGGCATCTGCTTTTAGTAAAAATGCTTTAGTGGGTGATGTTTTTTTTATAAATGTTTGATATTCTGTCAAATCTTGATATCAAAGCTTTAACTTTCTGTAATTTTTAAATGAGAATCAAGTAACAGCATATAATATAAAATCCCCAAATGCTTATTATGTTCAGGGCTTATTCCTAATCTAATCTAGAGACTTGGTTTCAGATTTAGATATTCTTAAAATTATGAGAAGCACTTTTGTACCAACCAAATTTAATAGAGATTCTAGAAATATATTTATTAAATTATTAAGCAAATTATTTCTTTGAATTTATATTAAAAAAAAATCATTTTTATTGAACATGCAAAGAGAAGGAAAATGCTGATATGTTCATATTATTCATTTTACGTTGGATTCAATATCTTCAAGCCTTGGTACTTTTATTTTTTTTTGGGACACCAAGCCTTGATGCTTTTGTCTTGGACTCCAGGCTGCAATGCATTTGCATTGGATCTCTGGTTTGAAAATCAATATTCCAAATCCTGTTTTGAACACTAACCACAAATGTCCATGGGGGAATGTGCCTCAATACCGGCTAAATGTCATCCTTGCCTGTTTAATTTTGGTTAAATTTTTTCTTTTTTATTGATGTGATTTCAATGCAACATATTTGCTGTTGATGTTGTAAGTTGAAGCATTGTCACATGTATCATCATATCTGTTTTGATGACTACAAGAAAATTTCAAACAGTGTAATGAATTCTGTTTAGTGTTTATAAATGTGATATGCAGTTGAGGTAAGTCAAAGTATATACTGCCTGGAACATAAGGATCATGACAACAAACATGAGTATCTGTATTTATATATATATATATATATATATATATATACACACACATACATATTTTTTTTTTTTTTTTTAATGAAATTCTCTGAATTGTTTTCATAGTGAAATGTATCATGGCATCTCAGATGATGACATTCCAGCTGTCAAAGAAGTTTGGAAGTGGCACAATGGGCCAATATTATCTGAAGCCTTGGGAGTTGCTTTTAATTTAAAGGTAAAGTTTGATATGGAAATGTACAATATTTGGTATCATGTTTTTTTTCTTTCTGTTTTTGTAATTTTAACAAAATAGGAAAATTTAGTCTTGTTTTGAGTGGGGGGGGGATCATGGACGTGTTAATATATTGAAGTAACTGTTTATTGTATTTAACCTTTAGCAGCACTTTGCATTATTCATAAGTATTTCATCTAAGTATAAGTAGCCAGACAACTACAGTAGCATCATTTTCAATTTTCAGTTAGTCATTTTCCTGTTGCCATAGTAGGATATGACAACACTAACACAAAATTCAGCCACACTATTGTCTGATGATCAGTCGCATGCAGTGGCTGTACAAACATTTTGTTTGACAAATGAAGTCACCTACAGACTGAGTGCTAAAGGGCAAAATATTTGCATGAAGATATTGTGTAAAGGCTGAATTTTCATATTTTTCAGGTATTATTATGACGCATATCTGTGTCTTTGTTGTTTTCATCATTTGGATCCCCCCACACACCCACATAAAAATTCTAAAGTGCAGAACAAAGTTTCTTCACTTTGATTGGCAAAAGTTAGAAATTACGGATGTGTTTATCCTGTAGACACCCTATGGAGTATAGTGTCACAGCTTCACTACACTAGCTGTTACTGTTGTGATTTCCATAACTTGTTTTTTTATGGTTTGGAGTTGCTAGTGTCATACAGAGGCTTCAGACTAACTTTGTTCCCCATCACCTCCAAACCATCCCAAAATGAAAATTTTTTTTTAACTTTATAATTAATAGTTGTGAGTTGCATAATAAAAGCAATATTAAAATATTTGGGAAATAAATTAAAAATGTTAAAATATTAAAGTTTTAAAAATGAATAGGTAAATTTTGTAGTAGTTTTTATAAAAGTCATAATTTTATTTTTATTTAAACATTTTGGTTTTATGCAGAAATGTTCTTATTAATTAATTTTTATACTTAGAATGACTTTTATCATACTTTAAGAAATGTGTTCTATGCATTCTATATAATGGATTTAACATTTTTAACTAAGTCTTTAACATTTTTAAAGTTTTATCAAAATATTGCATTGTAACTAAATTCTCTATTTTCCTTAATCCCTTTTTAAATTAGCTTATGATAAGCAGGAAATGACATAAATGTTGTTTGTTAATAGTTCATTCAAGATTTTTAAGAAAATGTAATTTTCTTGCTTTGATTATTAAAACAAATTTTGTTTTTACAATTTGGTCCTAATGTTTTTCAAATTTACAAATAAATAATATATCTAAATTTAAGTCCTTGAAAACTCACTTTTCATTCAGACTTCATTCTCCAATTTAAAAAGTGCTTTTTTTTTTTTTTTTTTTTTTTTGCATATGTGCATATTCTATTTAATTTAAGCCTGCTACTATTGTTGAATAGTAAGAATTTTTTTCTGATTTTAAGAAAGTTCCTTTTAGAATAAATATAATAGAATTTTAATTAAAAATTTTGTATTGTCCCAGAAAAACTCACCAGTCATCTCAAACTAATGTTTTATTGACTCCCAGGACACTAGTATGTACTCCACATCTAACCATTGAATTCAGAGTTTTCCTTCTCTTAGACTAGTTGCCAACAACAGCTTGAGAGCTCAATCTCCTTGGTTATTTAACCCCTATCTGGTGGGAGAAGAAATGGATTCGTACGTTTCCAAGAGTATTTGTGTGAAAGTGAATGTGACAGCCCACTTTCTACACTGATAATTTCTACACTATAAGCACATCCAGAAATGAATAACAGAATTTTATTCAATAATTGCTGAATGTAACCTACACCTGAGGATGACTGGAAAGTGTACAGATCGAAATAATATAAACACTAAAGATGTGGAAATTAGTTAAATCAATCCTATAAATCATGCATAAAACTTTAATATTTCAGTATTGGTTGCATTTGTTTTTATTAAAACAGCAAATTTTTGGAAAAATTCTAATGATCTTAAGGAGCTACTAATGTTATTTTAATTTCATAGTCTAAACTGTACAATTTTTTAGTTTGTTGATTTCTTTAAGTAATGTTTACTTTGTTCCTGTTGTTTTGGTCTCTAGACTTGATCCTGAACCATTCATTTTGAATCAGATTATATTGATCCCTTTATCAGTTTACATTGATCCCTTTGTTTTGAACCATTCATTTTGGATCGGTTTACATTGAATCCTTTTGTTTCGATCCCAACTTTGAGGGTTTTGTTACATGTGGATCAAAATAATTTGTATATTTTTAACCCTTTTTAAAGAAATTGACTTTCTTTAAAAAGGGTTAAAAGTATAAAAATTCTTGGATTCTTCATTAACTTCGTCTGAAAATATACTTATGAATTTAATTGCTCATCTCCATTTTTAATCTTGGCATTTCTATGAGATATTCCTTGCTTGAAACCTGACATTGCAAATAACCAATGACTATTTTTAGATCTTCAGGAATCAGTTATTCATTAAGTAATCTCATTACTGGAATTTTTTATCTAAAGAAAGTGATACATTTTCTATAAAGTCTAATTAAATGCATCTTGAATGTAATAAATTTTTTAAAATTGTTTTTACAAATTTTCTTTTTTAGAGTCCTTTTGAAGTGCACATCAATTTTACATATAAGCATTCTGACAGAGAATGTAGTTTTTTGTAAGTTTCAAAACTTTTTTTTATACTAAAGTGCACACAATACAAGGCTTGTGAGCCACTCATGGTAGTTACTGAATGAGGTGTGTAAGAGGAGGCAGTAGAGAGTGAAGATTATGTGGATAAGTTTCAATAAAATTCATTTAAAAAATTATTTTGCATCTTGTCTGACACAAATCTACAATAGTGCAAGACAAAATGAAGATAGAATTCATTAGAATAGCAATAGTCTGTGCACTATGCCTATTAAGTATTTTTCTAATAGTCTTATGGCATCACTTATGATATATCTTTCTTAGATTGTTATAAAATCTTAAAGCAAACAAATCACATCCTAAACACTTTGCAAACAATTGCGTTGTCATTTTATAAATGAAACTCCCTTTTCTTTTCTTTTTTAAACAAGAATCAATTTACATAAATTTAATTTTAATAGAAAAACTTCTACTTGATTCTCTTCTTGAAATCTCTTAAATATGTGGCATCCATTGGTCTCAAGAGACCATGGATCTGTGCCCAAAGAGCCTCAGCTGCTGATGGTGGTACAGCATCTGTTATGGCTGTACAGGCCCACATGCGAGTGACAGTCTTGGTTGCAGCAAATGCATGTGAAGACACCCTTCCCGATGTTGGCATGTTGTTTTCTTTCCGCCAAACACACTTCTCCTCGGTGGCAAGATATTCAAAAATGTTATCCATATTGTTTGAAATTTCCTTACTCTCCTAAAATTGTTATGTAAATTTTTGAACTTGCAGTTTTTTTCCCCCACAATATTTCTGAATTCGCTTTCTAATAAAAAAGTTTCTCTTTCTTCCAGGACAGACTTTCATCCTGACATTTTTCGCCGAAGGAAGACCAAAAAGGTACTTACCATATTTTCCCAGGCTATAAGACACCTCCCAAAAGTATATCTAAATATTCAAAATTTTGCGTATTATGAATAGGATGTTGGATACATGAAACTAAAGTTGTATTGCTGAGGATAAGGAAATGTTGTAATGAGCAGTCATCCCTAAAATGCTATTTTTAGACTACAATATATATATATATATATATATATGTGAGGCGATGCTTGGAAGTCCTTGAGCTGACCAAGATTTCAAAAAATATTCTAATGTTTGAGCCATCAGCAAAAGAAAAAATGGCTTTCTTTCTTTTAAACATTTAATTTTCTTGTTTAAGAATGACATAGTGATTTGGAAGAAACTGGCCTTTTAGAAAATATATTTAGGAATGTTTAAATGCAAGTTTAGTGTGAAAAATGTGATTGGTAAGCTGAGTTCAAATTTCAGTTGGGATAGTTTGTTTACTTCACACTCTCTCTCCCCAGCTATGGATTAAATAAGAAAACAAGACTGGGCTCTCTATGGTGACCAATCTAGGACAACTTTGAATTCAGAACCATGGAGAAAACAATGAGAAACCACTTCACTATCTTTGCCAAAAACAATTATGTCATTCTGCAATTTATAAGTATTACAGAAAGGGAAGCTATGGAGAGCCATGATTGTTTGTCATGACACCACAATATATTTAATTTGCTCTAAAAGTGATTTTTAAGTTACTTAGAAATGTAATCTCTTTATTTTAATGCAGTTTGAGTTTTCTAGTATTTGACATTTCAGATTTACAACAAAAACATGCATATAAATTTATTTTTTCCCCATAAAATTTCAAGGCCACATCACGTTGAAACACCAGTTCACAGCACAATCATAGAAGTTAAGCAATGTCAACACTGGTCAATACCTAAATGGGTGACCACTTGGGAATACCAGGTGTTGTAAGCTTGGATGTTCAAGTGGTGTAATGGATAATAGCTAGGAATTATTAATCAGAGAGTTGAGTTCTCCCAGCTATGGGTTAATTAGTAATGCTTGTATCACTCAACCATTATTATCCCCAAAAATATTCTTACAATTTGAAAATATTTTCTAGCTTTAAATAACCTGCAAATGGTTGATAAGTTGTAGAAAACAAATCAATCAATCAGAAAATTTCAATCTTCAAGTTTATCCAAATGCTAATATCTTGAGTTTGTTTCTTAAAATTAAGTTTTCTTTTAAAATGAGCTTTTTTTTTTTTTTTTTTCAATGTTGTTTTGCACTAAGTTGACACATTTTGTCTAAATTATTTCAATGAAAAATTTTTTTTTTATATATTCTTAGGCTGACTGGGAGATGTACAGCCGAGCCAATGTAGCAAAAGCCGTATGTGATACCGTAGACAGTATTTATAAAAGGTAATATAATTAGCTAACTAGAAAATTATTTTTTTTTTTTATTATTATTTCTTCTTCTTCCTTTGATTTCTGGTAAATACTCATTTCTTTATGGGTCAGAAATGGCATCATGATATTTTCCACTGAACATTTTTATTTGAAAAAACGAAAAACAAAAAACCTAAGATCACACACACATAGATAAAACCCTTTGTAAGTTATGAGCTGTACTTGTGAGTACATTTTTTTTGTATGTTTTAAGGTTTAAGCTACCAAGGATCCCTTCAATGAGTCTATCAGAACCTTTTTCCAATCAACCCGAGGGCTCCAACTACAACTGGAATTGTTAATATCCTCATGTGCCACATTTTTGAGATTTCAATTTCAAGGTTCCTGTACTTTGATAGTTTTTTTTTTTTTTTTTGTGAAGATCTTCAAAGATACATGATAATCTGCAGAGACTGACATATCAATAAAAAGGCATATTCTGTTTTTGTGGTCTCTGATCACAATGTCTAGATGATTAGCTTTGATTGTTTTGTCTGTGTGTATTGTAAAATCCCATAAAATTGTTACATGTCTGTAACCAGGTCTACCAATTTCTTGCAGTTTCCTTTGTAAAAGTTGCATATTTTCCAATGTAAATATTGGTCCACTCTGTCATGCTGGATTTTATATTCAGTGGGTGCCAATACTGTGCAACCTGATACAAAATGGTCAATTGTTTCTGGATATTTATCACAGAATCTGCATTTTGGGCTAACACAATATTTCAGTATGTGTTCTTGATAATTTCTAGTTAGAAAAGCATTGGTCTGTGCAGCAAGAATAAAACCTTTGGTTTCAGCTTTTAACCCTACACTAATGAGTACAGGGTTTGTCTACATCAGTTTGTTTTGGTACGAGCAAAGTATTGGCCATGAAGAGGCTTATCTTGCCATCGTTTCTGCATTTGGTACATTGCTTTTACTTTCTTTTTTAGGGTCTTTACCACTTCAGTAGGTGTATTATGGTTTATTTGCACTTCCTTACCCACTTGAAATTCCATTTTAAATTTGTTGGCTTCCTTTATTACTGAATAAAGTTTCTTATTTCTTTCATGTCCTTGACACAAATCATCATTTAGTCCTTTGTAGTTTCCAAGTATCTTTGAAGGCCAACTGTTGTATTTTTATTGTTATTAAGAAGACCAGTGTCTTTACTGATTTTATCACAACATTTTAGTTGACATATTCACACAGGATGTTTGTCTAAACAGTACTTTGATATTGATAGAATTTAAGGGAAATTTGGTTGTAAAACAATTTATACTTGATATTTTAGTTTCTTTCTCCCTTATATTTCCATATTGACGCACCAAAGAGAAAAAGGTCACATTATTTGCTCACCTGGGCAAAGTTGATATCAGGAAATACTGTATTTAACAAATGTTAATAATACAACATTGGTGGAGAAATAGTTCAATTACATTTTTTCTTTTTAAATAAGATAATTGCATAACAAGGATATATTTTTAAAATTAAATAGAATATTGTTCACTATTTACATTATTCGACTATTGTCCTCATCTTTGTTTCCACATATTTATTACAACGTTTTGATCATTGTACACTCTGGTTTTTTCAGGTGGTCGGTCAAACTGAAATTTCAACTGAACTGTTCTAGTTCACGATGCGTTGTTTAATGGATGTCGAGTTATCTCCTGTTAATTCCTCCAGAGTTCTCCACACGCCTTAACCATGTATTGAACTCACACTCTTTGTGTCCCTGAATCTAACACCTTTATCCACTGTGTCATGTGTCCTTGAGGACATCTGTGTATGACACATGGCACAGTGGATAAGGGTGTTAGATCCGGTGACAGGACCCAAAAAGTGTGAGTTCAATACCTGGTTAAGGCGGTGGAGAACTTGGAGAGGGAATTAAGCAGGAGATAACTGACATCCATTAGACATGGCATGTGGAACTAGAACAGTCTACCCCAGTGAGTGAAATAAAGGGTTCAGTTCAACATTCCAACCACCTGAAGAAGGCCGGAGCATACAATGACCAAAAAATGGTAATAAATATGGTGACAAAGATGAGAGCAATAGTCCAAATAATGTAAATAGTGTACATAATATTACCTAATCTCAGAAATATATAGACAGATACAGAATATTGTTCTTCAGTCATTTTTACATATATTGTTTTCCTTTTCTTTTTAGAGTTTATAATTTTCCCCCTGCTCTGCCTTCAGACTTGGCAGAATGTGAACGTATTTCTTGTCAACATGATTCAGTATTCATTGCAGGTTGGTCTTCACAAAATTTTTCTATGTCTTTAGAAATTGCAGGCTTTCTTTAGCTGAAAGCCCAATGCATAATTTTTTTTTTTTATGTGATGTTCCTCTGGGATGAAGATGATCTTACCTCTCCATATTTTCCTTTAGTTTTTTTACTGCAGGATGCACTTGTAGAATAACTAAGACTCTGGAGCACACTTTAAATTTTAATAAGAAAAAATTAGTCATGAAATTTTAAAATTTAAAATTTTGTTTTACCATCCCCAAAGAAAATTAGAGGTACAGTTTTCATTTATATAGATTTTTTTTTTTTTTTTTTTTTTTTTTTTTTGAGAGATCAATAATGACTGATTTAAATCCCTTGAGGAAGGCAGAAGGGAAATGATTGTCCATTCCTTCTCAAAGATAAGGAATTTAGCATCCAGAACTTAGACATCGAAGCCATGTTCTTTGTGATTTTAGATTCTTAAAAATAAAGATTTTTTTTTAAATACAACAATAATTCAAAATTTACTCTTCTGTTGGGTTGCACTGGGTTACCTTTCAGAGTGCATTAGTTGAGAAACACTGCTCTAATATGCATGGATTCCCATGTTTTGGGAAAGATAATGGTGTGGTTTTGTAGTTTTGAATTCACATTAGACCGCCTCGACTGGCTGTCACTCAAATCTATAGAAACCCAATCTGTCTTAACTATTTAACCCTTAATTTAATAGCTGGTGGCGAGGGGGGGGGGACAAGTGATAGATTAATTTCTTTCCCAATTGCAAAGTGGACACAAATGAACAAGTCCAGAATTTGAACTCTGTTCCCTGATTTCACTTTCTGTGTTAACTATTACACTACATGCATGCTTTACAGCAATTAGCTTTGCTATCTCAATATATCTGGAGATGTTGCAAAGTTTTGGGCCAAGACTAGAATTGAACCAGACATCATGATTTTGAGAAAATTCCCTTCTTGGTTGGTCTGAGATCTTTTCAGTCCCCTTTGTACTTTTGTACATAAGTGAATTAGTTTTGTAATGTAATCTATTTTTTATGATTTTAAATGTTTTGTTTTTGCAATAGAATTTTTTTAAAGAAACTGTTTGGCACTCTGCCTGTTTTCTTTCTTTTGAAGGCAACATATTTAAGCAATTATCACTCTTTGATGAAATTGGCAGAAGAGAAAAGTCCCTTAAATATTCCCACTAAAATGGCCTCATAAAAAAATTAAAATAAATTATCCCCATTAATATTTAAGTTAAAATTTTTCTTTGCATATGATGCTTTTTCAAATGTTAATGTTCCTGTTTGTGAATAAAAAGTTTTTGAACTTATGAAACACATTCTAAGAAAATTTTGTTCATTTATGTTTTTTCCTAAGCTAAATCTGTTCCTTTATTTTATTTTTGTTTTGAATAAATATATTCAATTACTCAATTGATGAATCAATGAAATCAGTCAACTAAGGTGGAGTTTGTTCTCTATTCAAATAAGAAAAAGTCTTACTAAATTGACTCATTTTTTTTTTTTAAATTTTAATATTTTTAAAAACATTTCTTTTTTTGTTTATGACTTTGAAATGAGTCATTTTTAGTGAATTTTGTTTTTTACTTTGTTGTTTTTGTCTGAGGTTTTCTACTTTCTTGACTTTTTTTTCTTTCACTGTTTCATTCAGTTCATTCTTGAGGTGGAGTTATTTAGCCTGGTACAAGATCACAAAACTGGGGCAACACAAACTCACTATTGGCCATGACTATTTGTAAAACTAGCTCATTAACCATGATCTAAAGTTGACTAGTTGTGTCCTGTTGTGGAGTTCTGTAGAGAGGCTGAAATTCAGTTTTTGTTTTTTTGGTGTATCTTATCGCAGGTCGTTACAACAAATATTCTCGTCTCTTGAGTCAGACACCATGGTTGATTGAAGGGATCAAAAAGCATGAAACGTCTGTTCAAGAATTGATATGCACTCCACTTATGGAAAGATTCCAGCCAGTTGGTAAGTGGATTTTAACTTTTTGTTGACCAAACAAACTCTGAGATGTAACACTTTTGTAGAAAATAATTTCCTTCTTCCTATGATTCCTAAAAATAATTTTTTTCTTCTCATGGATCCTAAAAATAATTGATTTTTTAAAAAAATTATTCAGCAAAAATCTTGATCAGTTACAACACTGTGAAGTTAACTTCCTTGATTAATTTCTTTGTAGAATGTAAATTTTCTGCATCTGGTCGTGAAGATGTTGATGTCAAGATGCTTGGAAATGGTAAATATTCTCTACAATTTTCTTGTATGCTTAGGCGTTTAGAAGCAAAATAGATTGGTCAGATTTTTCTTTTTTTTTATTACTTTTTTGGGAAAAACTAAAAATCACAATTTTAGTTTTCTATTTCTTTTTAATCCAAATATTCTACTTAGATAGGTTTGTTCCAATCTAAAATTAATTTTTCTAGAAGCCATCAAAAAACTGGTTGAGGCATCAACTTTTTCATATATTCTAAATATTTTTCCCTTTATTTTAAACTAGCAGTAGAGCCCGGGATTGCCCAGGGATGTAACAGTAAGAGATAGATCAAGTATCGACCATCATAAAGACTGAAAAATAAAATTGACAAAGATTATTGACGGACACGCATGTCTTAATTAGTTTTTTTTTTTTTTTTTTTTTTTTTTTTTTAATTGGTCAAACTCAAACAAAAACATTGTTTTCAATCATTATGAGTCTACCAATTGAATATAATTTTATTATAAACAATTGTCTTGTAAATTGAATTTTTAAAGCATTCTGAATGTAAAAATAAAGAAAAAAGTGTGCAAGACAATAAGAAACACTACCTCCCAAAAATGTGAAGTTTTGTTGAAATCGGTTGAAAAATGTAGGAAATCCGATCTCATATATAAACGAACACACACACAAACAACCTGGGTTTTATAATAAGTATAACTCGATATGAGTTGTCCCCCTTTCATTCTCGTGATGGCTCTTAATCGTGTTTTCAAATTGATTTCATGCAAAAACAATTGTTTTTCCAATTTTTGGCACTGTCAGAACCACCGCAAAGTAATTTTACGTAGTCCTGTGAAGTTTTGTTGAAATCGATTGAAAAATGTAGGAAATCCGATCCAATATATAAACGTACAGACACACACACACACACACAACCTGGGTTTTATAATAAGTATGATTTCTGTTTTTAACTAATGTCAAACTTTCCATGTTTTATTACCTAAAAAAAAAATGATCCTATTCTCTACTGTCACCTGATAAAATAGACTTGCTTGACATTATTCTTCAAATGTAATTTTCTGTAGATGCAAAACTTTATTATTGATCTTTTACAATTTTAGGGGAAAGAAGTATGATAAACTGGAAAAAGTTTTTGTGTGATGTGTTTTTTCCTTTAGGATTTCGTTGGACTAAGTTTATGTTCACGTTAATGTGACTACACATGTGCATGAATGAGTGATGCTGGGAATTTTAGATTTAAAAATAATTTTATTTTAATATGTGTTTTTGGATATATAATCTAACCGATCATGGCTAGATTGTCCATAGTAAATTTGCACCACAAGTTCTTATATTTCACCATTCCTGGCAGAACTTCTATTATCACAATGTGGGATATTTAATCACAAAAGTGATAAAAACAAACAAAAAGAAAAAGAATCTAAATGAAATCTGCTAGTCTACAGACACAAAACACATTTTAAAAAAAGACTTATTTTTAAATATAAAATTCCCAGTGTCTCATGTTTATGCGTATGTGTCATTACATCAATGCAAACATAAACTTAGTCCAATGAAGTCTGAAAGGAAGAAAACGTGTGACATGAATTTTTTTCCATTTTTTTCATACTTCTTTCCCCTAAAATTGTTCTTAATATATAAAAAAAATTATATATTGTTATCTCGTTTTCTACAATAAGACATTTATTTTTAAAGTTCCATTCTAGCAATAGAATATCCTGAAATTCTCTTGTAATTTTCTGCTATGAACAACTTTTGTTATGTTAACCTTTATCACTCTGTATGTGATTTCATTTGTTGTAAAAAGAGTTTATCCTGCTACTGAAGGTGACTCTGATCCCTGAACAATACTGTATTTGAATTTCAAAGTTGTGTTGTCATATCTTGCTATGGCAACAGAAAACAACTTTGAATTAGCAATAAGGATATTGCAATTGAGAGGTCTTGAAAAAGAATGCAGTAGAAAGGAAAGTAATATTAATAATGCAGACTGCTAAATGTTAACTGGCAGACATTTAAGTGAGTTTATTTGAAATCTTCTTCAGAAATTAACATTCAAACAATGATTGTTTATTTTCCTTTTTGCTTAAACAATGTAAACTGAATTTGGCAAAATACTATACAATCATGGTGCAACTAGCAATTCACAGATAATAAGTTAAATAGCATGACAAACTGGGTCCTATAGCCTTGGTTGGCAACCAGTCTACTAAGGAAAGAAATGGCAACCTAATGCAGGAAAATCTGCCTAGTCAGTCAAAAATCAAAAGAGACTTCATCACCCAAGCGCATACTGTGTATGGCACTTAACTGACTGAATATGTGACTGAAGTGTTTCTTAACCCTTTTCTAAGACTCAATATTCTTTGATAACATATGTTGACTGCAAAGTCTTTAATCCTTATTGAACAGGAATCTACATATTTTATTATTGTTCAAGGGCTATGGCTAAGGTGGTTCTCTCTCATTCATGATTGCTATTCATTATTGCCCAAATGTTTACATATTATATTTTCTGATTTGTTCTTTTAACTATTATACTTAATTATTTATTAGGCAATTCTTTTACTGAGCCTGTTTTGTCTTCTTTATTTCAAAATATACAGTAAATGTTTAAAAGAATAAATAAAATCTTGCTTTACTAATAACTTGCTTTCAAAGTTTTTCTTTTTTTAAATTTTGTATTTCTTGGTGTTTTTTTTTTTTTAATTTATTTCTTTGTCTTTAAATTGTTTTTACAGGACGGCCATTTGTCATAGAACTTGTCAATCCGAAGAAATCTGATTTTACGGCAGAAGATTTCCTGCAAATGCAAAAGGTTGTAACATTAAATACCTTCTTTCTTTTTTTTTTCTTTTTCCCCAGCTATTTTGCAAACTAAAATATCATGCAACCATGACAATACTGATTGGAATTTTCATTCAAGCAATTTGCTTGAATAAATTATCTATTTTTGAACTTCATTACAGAAAAAAAAATTTCTAATAGAATTAAAAATGTTAGCAGTTGATTTTAAAAAAAGAATAATTCAAAAGTTTTTGGTTTTGTTATGATTCAAAATAAAACCAAGGAAAAAAAATTTAAAATAGTCAAACTTACAAATACAAACCAGTAATGGAGAAAAATGTAAAAGATTTTTATAAAATGAAAATGTAAATAATGATAACTCTTCATCCTAGAGAATCAGTTTGAAAAGCCTTTTATGTTTGTTAGACATGAAAATTATATACAATCAAATAATGGTTTCTGTTTTTATCTCTGGTGGTTGATGAAATCAGAATCATTTTTCTTTTATATCTATTATTATCATGTCACATTTATCAATTTTTAAAAGTTTTATTGTAATATTTTCTCTCGTGTACTTTAAAAGAGAGCTTAATTAATAGATTACAAATAATTTAAGTAATATGAAATGATTCTGATTGTTTCTTAAATTATTTGTAATCTATTAATTAAGCTCTCTTAAAGTACATGAGAGAATTTTTTTCTCATCAAATTAAATTGGTCCAGAAACAAAGTAATATGAAATGATTCTGATTGGTTCTTTGTTTCTGTACCAATTTAATTTGATGAGAAAAAAATTCTAGCTTCTTTTAGGTGAAATCGATTCATTTTATAGAGACTTGAGATAAATTTATAGGCTATCTTTGTTCAGTTCCTTGTGCACAAAACTTTTTTTTTACATTTGGATAAAGTTCGGTTTTGGTTTTGAAAAAGTTTTCATCCCAAATGGATTGTAAACTTATGTTGAAATGCTAAAAAAAACAAACTGAATTTTGAAAATAAATTTAATCAGTCAATTTTAATGATTGGTGTTTTGTTTTTTATTCCTTTCAGGAAATCAACACAAGTACCAAAGATATTTTTATCAGAGATCTTCAAGCAGTTTCAAGGTGATTCAAATGATTTAGGTTTTTCAATTGTTTGTTCTATTAACAAAGATCAAACTGAAATGAAAATACTAAAAATGAAAGGAAAAATTGAATTTCTGACATGTTTTAGAATGATTTGGTTTTCTTTTTATTCATTAAAATGTTTTTAAATGACTAGCAAAATGGTCCCATTTAAAATATTCATTTTAATATAGATAAACATTTTTTAGAAATTTAAGAAAGTCCTAGAACAAAAAATCCCATGAGTTTCTTTAATATATCAAAGATAAGTTTGTTAATATATGTATTTACATTTCCACTCTTCAGATGTCTTTGAGAGATAATATGGAAATTCTGTAGAATCGGGTTTACGATGCTTCTGTCTAAAATAGTTCCAAGCCAAGGACATTGGTATTCATAGTTGTGATGAGAATGAACTTGAACAGAAAATCAACATCCTCTACCAAACGTTCCAAGAAATAGGACTTAACTAAACTTTCCTTTTGGAAAGATTTATCTTGAGTCCTAGAAATTATGATCGGGAACTTGAATGAAAGCAGTGATGGCATCTACCCTGAATCCATCATAAAAATTCAGGATGTGGAATTAGTAAATACTAAACACTTCAAATACCTTGGTGTATGGATCAGTTATAACAAATTTAGTATAGAAGATAAGGAAATTGAACCAAGAATAGGCTGCACTGGAGGTAGTTTGAACTGTAAAATGATGAAACCTTGTTTTGGCATATGGATCAGTTATAATTAGGAATATATTGCACTAGAGGTAATTTCACACAACACTGCAAGTTGCTACAAAACCAAAACATTAGCCTAAAAACTTGATACCTATTCTTAAATAGCCTTACCAGATCAAGAATTTCATATGTCATGCATGGCGCCAAACTTATTTAGAAATATCTCAACTATCAGATGTATACAACCATTTTCTTAGATCAATGGTTAAAGGTGGCTTCAAGCAAATGTATACTGTAGGTCTTAGCAAGTACCATCCTTCGGGCATCATGGACTGGCACTACAGAATTACAAAGAACTTCACCAAATAACAGAAATGTCACTTGAAGACTTTCAACAGCAGCAACTAAAATGGATATCACATGTAAGTTGAAAAGAAAATGATATAATCAAGGCTACATTATAATCCCAGCCTGATTGCCATGAAGTGAAGAAAAGCAGAAGTTGAGTTGCACTGACTGTTCAGATGAATGTTTCTCTATAAGGAAATGGCTAATATTACCATTACCAGTTTGCAATCTCCGGTCGAACATTTTCATTTTCTGATTTAATCTTGAAGACAATGCAAATCTAGACACACACCTTCTCATCAGTTTTCTTTTTTAATCAAATTTGAAATCCTTCCAATTTGCCACTCCCTTCCAACTAACCTCACATCAGAAACACTTTATCTAGTTTTGACCTTTTTGAAGTAAATTTGTTGTACAAAAAGCGATAATTAAAATCAACAATGCAATCCCATAAAAAAAATCTCCCATGAATTGAAATAAATGTTGATTTGTTGAACATCAGTTGGCAACAATGCCCGAATTAATATAAATGAAATTATATTGAAACCCCTACCAGTGTCCCCCCCCCCATCATAGTGATGTTGATTTTCAGCCGAAATCAATGACTGATCATCTGCTTATCTTGATTTCTTTTTTACTCACATTTGTGGTGAAAACTGAATTTTGGATGCTACTTTTATTTAATCAGAAATTTTATTTCATTCTCAACTGCACTTTTTTTTATAAACTAATCAGCACCACATTCCATTTCATTGGAATAAGCCAGATTTTGCAAGAGACATGGGTAAAACTGAAAAACTCAGACTATACAGGGGAAAATTTTATTAACTTGAATGAAAAGGAATTTCAATGACTGAAATTCAAAATATAAAAATATTACTTTGTTTTTTGATTTCTAGAAAACTTCCTTCAAAATCCCTCAATTTTATTTTGTGAACACAGATGCCTCTAGAAAATTACTCATTTTTGCATTTGTAAGATCAAATATTGCAAATATGGGAGCCTTGTATCAGCCTTGTATTTTATAAAAAAAAAATTCAATGTGTTGATTTTCCAGGTTTGAGTTTCAATGACTGGACTTCCATTTCATTTAATTATGCCATCTTGGATTTTATATTGGGGTAAATTTAAAGTTTTCTTACATTTTTAATTGTTATAATAACTATTTGTTTTTTGTTTTCTTTCAGAGATGAAATTGCCAACCTGAAAGAAGGAGAAATTGAAAAAACCAAAAGTTATTCTGCAACTTGTTGGTCTGAAAATTGTTTATCCCAAGATGAACTTGATACATTGTCCACATCTAAAGTAAACAATTTGATTTGCTATTTTTGCTTTTTGAGTAAAAAGAAGAAAAAAAATCCATTTTCTTGTGTTTTGTTTTGTTCTCTTCTATGCAAATGCCTTCAAAATGTTGTCTCATTTGTATTGCCAACTCAGAAAAAATAATGAATCTTCTCAGTCACACTTTCTTCTCTCTTTTTATTGCCACTGACTGCTACCCATAATTCCTTTGTTCTTGCCTAGTTTCATAAATATATATTTTTTATCTGAGCAAGAGCTCCAAACAGTATACACTTTTCTTTGTTGGGTTTTGTAAATCAGTTTTAAATCTCAAAGTAAATTCTATCTCCTTGAATTCTCCAGTCTGAAATCCAATTTTAGATTGTTCTTCTTATTTGAACGTTTGGGGAAATACAAAGTTTATTTGTAAAATTGGTATCAAAAGATAATTGGTATTTTAAAAAAATTTTGACTGAATTTGGGAGTTTCTTGACATTGACATTTTTTTCTAATTTTGGAATGACCTTGTTCTTTAATTTGGTTGAATTTAGAATATTCAGATTCAAGACTGTGAATAATGAAAATAGAAAGTAGAGGAAAATGCTTTTTATAAAAATACAAAGCCTTGAAAGGAAATTCGTAAAGATAACTTTTCATTACATGAAACCTGAAAATGATTAAAGTATTTTCTGAACATTGATGCATATTTCTAAATGATTTTTTTAATTGTGAAAATATTGTCTTGTAGGATCTTGTTCTTCTACAAAAGACACCTATCCGTGTGTTACACAGGTAAATCAAATTTTCTTATTCTAATCACAGCAAAACAGATCAAAAACCAAACTCTCTTACATCAAAATAATGTCAAGATTAAAACATAAAAGGCAGTAAACCATTATTTTATGGAGGAAGAATTGACATTTCTTTTCTGATGTTCATTTCACAATTGTTTCACTAATTTTTTTCAAATTTTCATTAGGTGATGGACACCTGAAGCAATTGGATAAAAAATTGCTCATAAGAAAAAAAAACAAATAATTTTTCTTTTAACTTTAAATCACATTTTCTTATTTAGAAAGGATCATTTTGTGATTGAATGAAACTCTGGGAAAAAAAATCAGTGATTTTGGTTTTGTAAATTGTTACGAAAATGCAATAAGATTTCAGATTAACCAAATTTGTTTTTAATTTATTTTAAATTTCCCATTGTCTTTTTATTTTATTTTTTTTTTATTTATTTATTTTTTTTTTAAATTATCAAATAGAAATTCCTGAAACCTACAAACTCTTCAAAGTCAATCACTAACATAAACAGGGTTTGTACAAGTCCTGGGAATCTTGAAAAGCCCTAGAAAATTGACAGGGCTTTTTATAGAACTTGAAAAGTCTTAGAAAAACTACAATAGACTAAAAGCTCCTTGAAAAGTCTTGAAATTTTCTAAAATGGGCTGCCCACACATCCTTTTTCTCAATTCATGAAAGTCAAAATGCCAAATCCCAGAAGTTTGGCTTTTTTAAAAGCTAAAAGTGTTTTTTTAGTCATCAGTAATATTTGGCAATTATTGCAAACAGTACTTTGTTTCCTTGATTAGAATGTGTTCATGACCTCATAGTTACTTCTGTATTGTCTAGGTGACAAGAATGAAAGGGAGAAAGTTGTATTTGAAAGGGAAATAATAAATTATTTTACAGTAATAAAATACATTTTAGTAGAATCTTGAAAGATTTATTAGTGTTTTTTAAAATTTGAACAACTGAAGGAATTTTATTCACATGTCAATTTAAAAAGTCAAAAGTCCTTTTGATCTCTAGTGGTGGGTGAGTTCATGCTGAAAAAAATTAGATACTTTGTGTCCTGTGTCAATGTGCATCTATGTGCAAACTATGTTTGTCTAAATTGTTGCCAAAAGTAACAAGTTTGAGAATCAAATTTGACTCCAAGAAAATGTAGACAGGAAGGATAATAGAATAGAAAATGTGCCTTTTGTTATGTCTCAGGATTGGATAGAAAATGCATCTTTGAAAGAATAAAAATAATCTTATTTTTAAAGTTTGCAGGCTAATAATGACCTGTATCTCTAGCTTTTGTTGCGTGAAAAAAATGATGAAATATATTAAAACTTATTTGGCTTTTATTGCTTGGCTTTATATTAAAAGTTCAATCTGGCAACCCTGTCCCTTTATTTTTGTATTTCTGCCATAGATGGCTACAAAATGTACAAACATGTGAAAAACTCTTAGACATTTGGCCAGATGTCATAAATTTGTGAACAATTAAAAAAACAGGCCTTCTCTGCACTGCTATCAAACGTGAATGATGTTTTATTTTCAGTGAAACTGCAGATTTTTGTGTCTGTTTTGAACCGTTTCTGATAAAATATCTGTGATAAACTGTTGCTTCCTTTCCTTGCAGATGATCTTTTTAGTGTAATCATAAAACTGTTAAGAAGATTTGTAAAGGAAGAGCAAAAGCACACTAAAAAGATAATTACATTTTTCAAACTGAATGTGTAAAATTTTGTCAAACCCAAACATGCATAAAGATGCTGCAAAGATCAAGTGTGAATTTCTGACAGATATCGCTATGTGTGCACACATACATGCCAGTTTCAGTCCTTGAAACTTCTTAACATCGTTCTGGAATGTTTTTAGACAGAAATTCTTAGTATTAAAATTTGTGAAATTTTTCACTTTTATTGTACAGAAAAAAATTCTTCCTACCCCACCCAACTAGAAACTGGAGTAAAGGAAGAATTTTCATTAATTGTATTAAAGTTTTTTTTTTTTTGTTGTTGATGAATTTTTATTTGATTTCACAAATAACAAGAATTTTGTTTGCCATGTTTCTTTGCACCAAGAACCAAATTGATGCATTCTTTTGACCAACAATCAATCAGTTTTGGACTTTTAATTGGTTATTTACCTTATTTCTGGTGCAGACTATTATCCCCATCTTCGTTGTAGACAACAAACATGGAGACAATAGTCTACACCAGAAGTTCAAACAAATTATTTGATTGGTTCATTATCAAGTAAAGAAACTGCTAAAAATATTTGTAAGTCATTTATTTTTGACAATTTAAATATATTTTATTTTAGAAAGTAGGATTAGAAAAAATGAATGGTTAATCAAATAATGAATAAAAATAAAAAGCTTAAAACATCATTTTTGATAATAGAAGTTTTTTTTTTATTTGATCTAATATATATATATATATATATATACATATATTTTTAAATAAAAACAGACCAACTTTAAGGTTCCATGTAATAAATTATTTCACCACACATATTTTTTAAAGGACTGCAGATCATCAGACTTTACTTCCAAAGGTTGAAACAAAAAATGAAAAGAAATTTACACATTTTTGATGGGCCGTATTATACATAGGTAAATTACCAAAGTGAGGGGGCGGGAGAGAAGACATGAGTGAGTTAGATGTAATTTAAAATTTCTATTCTTTTATACTTAAAATTACTTGATGTCCAGGCATTGACACATTTAAACAGTCTGTGTTGAAATAATTTATTACATGGAACCTAAAAGTGGTCTGTTTTTATTTAATTTGCTCTGGATTTACATTGAGCTCTCTGGATTTTTATCCTCCATATGGATTACCTAATTTTTCATAAACTATATATATATAATGTGTGTGTGTATGTGTGCTTTTAAACCCTATCTAGGCATAAAACAGATTTATTAAAAAAAAAAAATATTTATGCTTAAATTCTTGCCGAGGGTGTTTTTTTGCTTTAGTTCTACTAATTTAAATCCTTTGCTTGATTAAAGAAGTTTTTGTTTATTTTCAGACGCCCACTAGCCTCCCGGCAGCGAATAATTCATTCAATCTCTGCCAAAAAAATTGATGATCATCATTTTCGTCTTCAACTCTCTACGCAAGCAGGAACGTATCCTTTACTGTCTCCAAGATTTTTTTTTATCTGGTTGCATTTATTTTTTGTCTGATTGTTTGCCAAGCCATTTATAAATTTCTGATTTTCATCTAAAATACCGGTGTGATGAATAAATTGTCGTAAAAATTACACGAAAATGAAAATAACACTGACATCTCATTCTAATAAATATATTTATGTAAATTACACAAAAATATCTTGAAATACTAAAGAGTAAATTTATTCAATAAAATCTCCATTACAGTCTCCAGATGACTTTGGAATTTCCTGCAACTCTTCTAGACGGTCTCCTTATTTAAGTTGGTGAATGCTGCCATAATCTTTGCCTTCAGTTCATCTTTGATGTTACAAGGAGTTTTGCTGGTCTTTCACTCAACTGTGCCCCACATAATAATCAAGAGGGTGGCAGTCTGGGGAGTTAGGTGGCCAGATGTAAAGGGTGATATGGTTGCAGAAATTGTCCCACAGCCATGATTGGGTTCTCCTGCTTGTATGGCATAGTGCAGAGTCCTGTTGCCAGACATAGGGTTTTCTAGCAGCCACCCTCTTGACCCAAGGCAGCAGTACCTCCTCAAGGTACTTGATGAAGTCCTCTGTGTTGAGTCTGAGGCCCTGTGATCACTCCAAAGACTTTCATGATGACCATTAGACTCATCCATCTCTTCGATTCTTCTGAACTGTCCTCAGATTGACACCCAAACACTCTGCACTTGATGTAAGCCCCCTTGTTCCTGTGGGAAGAAGAATGGAGGCTTAACTTTGCCATCATTAGGGATCACTCCAAACACCATGATGTTGACTGGATATGTCATCCAACTCTTTCTGAATCCTCTTCAGCGTCCTCAGATTCACAACCCAAAACTTTGAAAGGTTCATATTGGAGCTTCCGGCACGAATGCTAAGCAGTACAGCATGCCATTTCCAAATTTCTGGCAGAGCAAATTGCATCATGGTGCTCTTTTTCTCACAGACAGTGCCAAACTGACCCTACTACACTGTGCAGTTGACAACATCAAAAACAAACAATGCACATGTGCAAAATAAAAAAATATAAAATGGCGACAATTTACCCATCGCACCCTGTATGTTATCCACTGGGAATTGTCATTTGTGGAACTTTTTCTTTCACTGTTCCATTTGGTCATTCTATATGTCCATCTTTGTTTTTATTCCCAGGCACAATCATTCCTTTTGTGTCCATCTCATTGTCCTACTAATGTGACACTATGACTGGGACATCCATATAGAAGAGGAAAGTACAATCTTATCTCAATCCCAAGTGTTGCTCTTTTATGACCTTAGAAATTTTCTAAGTGGTGTTCACTTTGAGCAAAGGGGAATGGAAAAATAAATGAGTAGATAGGAGTTTTTTGAAACCAAGTGGCAGCAAAGCCAGATATGGAGTGTATCTGGTTGCTGGCCTATTTTAAGTCATACTTTCAGTTCTGGTCCACCCTTGGCATGAGTTGGACAGTTCTTCATGTAGTTCGGATGTCACACATTGAGATGTATGTATGGTTGGGGTGTTTGTAAGGGGAAGTGCTGCGCTGTTAGACTAATATGGTCAAAGTTGTCCCCAGGTGTCACCTACCTACCTACCTAACTAACCACCCAGACCGAGCAAGCCCTGAATAAAAACATCTATTTTATAATATGGGATACAGAGTTCACGTTCTCATTTCTTGGTGTGACGTTTATATCTCACCTGTGAACATGCAGCAGACCCTTCCCAGGTTTTGGTGCACACTGAAATAATTGAGGATCAAAACACAACACAGGGAAATCAAGCTGGGTGAGGATTTTGTTGCATGTTTACACTAATCAAAACTTTGACAAGTTACTTGATTCCCGTTTTAACTTCCATAGATTTTCTCAGTTTTCATCAAGTTTCTGTAGTTGTTCACACATGAAACCTGTTTTAAAGTTTGAGTCTGTTCTTTGTAGGTTCTCAGCCTTGTGTCAATGTCTTCCATTCAACTCGCCTGTAAAATTGATTGAACCATGAGCAGGGTGGGCGAGGGGAAGAAAACCTCTTTTACCTAATGTGATTTTGTCAGTGCTATATAAGAGTTGAATTAGTTTCTGACTTTTTGGACAGCAATTTGGTTTTCAATGAAAAATTACAAAAAAAAACAAAAAAACAAGCGGTTGGGATTTCAATTTTTTTTTTTTTTTTTTTTTTTTTTTTTTAAAATGTCATATTTCTTCAGAATGTTTACTATTATTATAGATCCCAACAGTTTCTTTTGCTTTAATATCTATGAATTGTCACGGCTAACTTTGGAAAAGATCATAAGGTGGTTTTGAATTCAATGTTATCCTTCTCCAAGATTGATTGCCAGGTCAAATCTAGAGAGCCCAGTCTACACTTGATTCAACCCATATCTGAGGGAAGAAGATATTCCTGCCTTTCTCAAGGATATCAATGTTAAGTGAACACAACAGCTTTAGCTAAAATTCAAACATTGCCTGACAATTCCATTTTCTGCAGCAATATGTGACCTGCACATGCATCACGTTCCTAAAACAAATACTACCTCTGTCCTGTAACAGTTGTTGCATTTACATACACATTTTATATGCTGAATGCATCAACTATTTTGGGACAAAGGTAGTAATATATTCAAACTTACTGAATTTGGTCTGTGCTCAATTTTTAATGAAATCTGAACATGTGTTTCTGAAAAATATACACCTAGGAGGGTGCTGAAAAATTCTTGGCCTTACAAAGAAGCACTACCAAAACAAAATAAATTGTTCATATTTTGAGAAGTGGCTTGTTACTTCCAATCTTGTTTGCTTGATTTGTGTTCTATGGCTTATCAACCCTTTGCAGGTTATTTAAAATCAGAAAGTATTTTTTAGATTGTAAGGTGTGTGTGTATATATATATATATATATTTGAGATAATGATTTAGTGGTACAAATCTTACTAATTAACCCATAGCTGTAGGGAGGAGAAGTGGATTAATACCTTTCCCAAGGGTATTTGTGCATAAGTGAATATAACAGATGCAACAGGAATTGGAATACAGCTCTGATTAACAGTACAAAGTCATTATCCATTACACACCCACACATCCAAACTTAACAGCACCTGGTATTCCTAAGCAGGTCACCTATCTAGGTACTGATCTGACACAACATTGCTTAACTTCAGTGATTATATGAGAACCAGTGTTTAAATGTGATGTGGCCGTAAGTCTTTTCAGTCTTGTAACATTACATTCAGTTAATTTGAACAATTTTTCTCATCCTCTCAATATTATAGACACATTTCAACAAAGTAACCTGGTCATCTCCATTAATTCTTTTTGTGTGTGTGTGTGTGTGTAAAGTAACATCACATTTGTAACAAAGATGAGAAAAATAGTCTTAATAAGTCAAAATATATTGACAATTTCTAATGTCAAAAATATTATCAAAAAGCAGTGTAAACGAAATGTTGAAACTATCTAACTGGGCTCCAAAAATATACCACTGGCAACCTTCAGGATATGATAGTGCAGTGGAAATAGGTGTTGAGTAATAAAATGTTGCTATTACCTAATTGTGGTGAGTTCAATCTCTGGATCAGCTAGTGATATCCATACACTCTGGTTCAGCCAGAATGAATAAAAAAAATGACATTTCCGGGATGATAATCAGCTCATACAATGCAACAAAAAAATAATGGACATCTGAAGATGGCCAAAGGCTATTTGGCTGAAACATTGTGTATGTGACAACATCTATAACAAAGATGAGAAAATACTTTGAATAAATTAAAACTTTCTTTAATGAATGTTTCTTTTATATTTAAAGTGTGAAATCGGGTTTGATCAGTTTAAAAATCGTATTATAATTTCACTTTGAAAGATGTTTTTGTTATTTTAGTTTGATTTAATATTTTCAAATCTTAAAACATTTTCAGCAAATTCCCAATTTTTATTTTACTTTTTTAATCTAATCTAAAGCAAAATAAATAAATAAAAAAAAAAAAAAAAAAACATGGATTTTATTTATTTTTTCCCTTAACAACTTTTCTAGATATGTCAAAGAATTTATCCATGGGGATTTTGGAAGGACCCAACCCAATCTCTCCATAATCATGAAAACAGAATGTGACATTCTGGAACTGGATGTTGAGGTAAGTTGCAATTCCACAGGCTTTTCTTCTTTTTTTGTAAGTGTAAATTTGTTTAATTGTTCATTTTAAATATTTGTAAGAGAGTTAGTGAATGAGTTTATGGGATTAAATTTGACTCTTATTGGGTGCTCTATTACTATGGCCTTGTTCCAGACTAAGCTAATGTCAACTTGGCGTGTTTAGTGGTTGGAATAGTTGCATATTTCTCTCTGGTTCCCATAGTTTGAGGAGAGAAGCCATTGGTTTGAATGTCAATTTTTCAAGAGGATTACATCTTCCCCAAATGTCATCTGCTTTAGCATACTTACATACCTGTAAAGTCTTAATATATTTGCATGATATAAGCATCTATACTATTTACTGAATGCTAAATGTAATCTTTTTCTAAATATTTTTTTGGCTGTGTGAATTGAAAATCCTATTTATATCTCAACCTATCTATTTACAGCAGTGGTTCCCAAACATTTTTTTCCTCTGGGCCATATTCTCAAAATGTAAATTTGCTCACATCTCACCAAATTTTATGTGATAAAAAAGTACATAAAAAATGGGAAAAAAAAAAACACAAAAAAAAAAAAGAGATATAGGTTTAAAGGGAGATAACTGCAGATTCAAAGTTGATAACTCTCTCCTCCAATTTGCAGACCCTAGTTACTATGTTCTTAATACTTGATATAATGGAAAAATATCACAATGATAAACTCGGTCAATAATTATTTACAACTATTTATACTGTGACTCATGCATGCAATTCACAGTAATCTATAATATTTCAAATTTTGAAATCATTTATTTTTGGCATATGAATTTTTGGAAACTGTTTGTAAATCTTCATTTGTCTTTCAATCATTCTACCTCACCTGCTATCCTCTTCTACTGCAGCATCTGGGAACCACTGCTTTAGAGGAATTAGACTATTTTGTTCAGTTGTTAAGGAAATGACTTTTATTATCAGGTAATTTTGTGCAGTATTCATTCCAGCCTTAATGTTTTTATTTTCTTTTTTCTGTATATTTGGAATCTAACCCAATCTGTTTCTTTTTTAGTCTGTTGATGTTGACTGGCCAAAGCAATTGAACACGTAAATGGTGTTACATTTTGTTGAATGCTACTCAGAGTTCTTGAAGAAAAAGCATCTGAACTGCAGATTTTCTTGAAATAAAAGCTGACATAAATCTTTTTATATAAGATAATATAATTTGGTTGAAATATTATTGTCTTTTGTTTTTGTGAGATACAAAAAATAAAATGAAGGTACGTTTTCATTATCTGAGAAGAGTTTATTCCATATTTGTTCAGACTAATATCCTTATCTTTCAATTCTATTAATACATTAAAACTGTTTAAATGTAGAACGTTTGTGAGAAAAATTGTAATAAAGATGCATATGGTAGTGTGATTTATGGGGGAATGTATTTTTAACTGGTAAGGGCCATTCCTCATTTGAATATACTTTGACAGAGATCAGTTCTCCTGGCTACCAAATTTAGTGACTCTCAAAACTGGTAGAAAATCTACAAACGTTTTCTGAAACACCTTTTTTTTCTTTTTTTTAAGAACCTTCCTCAATTATTTTAGAGGTTATGATTTTATTTTGCAGCAGAATCAGTTTCTGCTTCAAAGCATCATGTAAAGTTTAAGGTGCCTTTTTGTAGAAAAGGCACCCAGAAATTTGGTACCACAGGTACAAAACCAATTATCCATCATTTGTTCTTTTCTGTGGCTTTATCTTCCTGGAAATTACATGTCCCATTTAATATAAATCCCTGTGTTGCTAACTAGGTTTGCTTCAAGCAGGAAATGTGGACAAATTTATGCAGATACAGGTCAAGTGGTGAGATTCAGGAAAGAAATCTTTTTTTTTTTTCTTTTATGACTTAAAATGTTTGGAGGTACTTGACTAGAAAGAATGGATGCAAACATTTAAGGAAGAATTAGTAAGAAAAGAAAGTTTGGAAGAAAATCTGCAGTTAAAACAACACAATTTGAGAATATTTCATTAAGATTTTCTATAAACTCTATGAATACAGAAAGCCGAGGTTAGTGTCAAAGTATCTATTTATTTTATCAGTCGGGAAGGAAACTGATATTTGAAAAAAAAAAAAAAAAATTTTTTTATGCAAACCAGATGAAGCTAGTTTCTCAGTTGTCACCCATTATTCTAAACTTTGTCAATGTAAATTTTATCAGATTCTGACTGCAACCAATTCTAGATTACTAAACAATTTTCCAAGGTCACTTAAGAATGATGACAGGTCTTTGAAAGACAGTTCTTGTAAACCAACAATTCTTTTTTTTGTCAGTGAGGAAATCATTTCTCAACAATGTATTGAGCAAAATAATTTGTGTTGATGAAAAGTAGTGGTGCAGGGGAGGGGAAAAAAGCCAAATGCTATCAAGATATCTTATATTTTATTAAATACTTAGAAGGATTGCACACAGCAAGTGAATGCAATTTATTGACATCATTACAGAAATTCTGGACACGAAAAGTTGTTCATCCAAGACAAAAATTAATATCACCATTTTTCAGCTTTAAAACTAAGATAAAAAGGTAATTGGAATTTTGTATTTAGAATTCAAGTGAAGGTTTTGAGCAAATTTGATCTGCTTTCAAAATTGTTGGAGTTTATGGTAACCATTAAAACACATGATATGGTTGAATAAATGCATATTTTGCAAACTAAAATTTGCAGTTGGAGGTTTTTTTTCCTTTACATTTAGACTGCCAAGAAAAAGCCCTGCCATTTTTTTAATACTTAAAAAATCTTTTAAGTGTATTTGATGTTAAAAAAAAAAAAAGTAACAGGAAAGAATTTTAACCACCAAGAATGCTGTAACCTTCTCTTGAAACTGTAAATTTAATAATTCTACTTTGAAATGCAAAAGCTAAAGAGAACATTCGATTTATACAATAAATTAAAACTAGAATCATGAGAGCTTGGCACTAAATATTTGTTTAAAGAAAAAATATTTAAATGCATTCAAGATTTATTCCTACTTTAGTCTCCTACTTAGATACTAAATTTTCATTTCGTAAAGACATCATTTATTTGACAAAGAGGACAACACCGACAAAAGTGGAGTTTTCAGGATTTCAATTCCTGATTATAGAGTTATCTTGGTGCAATACAATGGAAATGAGGTAAATGTGTCAGTGAAATAGGGGAGATAATTTGATCAAAAGCTTTTGAATCTGAGGAAAGATGACAGCATTTCGGAAGCAGCAAAAAAAAAGAAAAGAAAATGAAAACTTGATAATTTTAATTATCTAGTTTAAAATAAAAAGGAATTTCTAAAAAGCTTTATCTTATTCAATGGAGATAGTTGACTTTTAGTTTCGTGCATTTATTTAATTTACTCAAGGCAAAAATGGAAGCAGAATCAAACTTGTCTACAGATTCAGATTCTAAACCCATTTTCAGCACCGGTGCTCAAGGTGCAGTTTTTGGTGCAACATGGATTAAAAAGAAAATTAACAATGACATTTTTTTTCTGTGAAGGAAATATTAAAATGCAATCACTGGTAATCTGTTTTTTCCTTTATCATAACACTTAATATGGATCATTTGCTGCAAAGAGAAGCCATGATTACTATTTTTAGTAGTGAAGACACACCCCTTTAGAAAGTTCAAATTGATGCTTTATAATTAATTGGAGCAGAGCAATAAATTGGGTATGTCTTGACCATTAAAACTGATGGTTACCAAAAGAAAGGTGTCTTGCTTTTGGAAAAAATCAGTGGGGGAAAAAAAATCATTGATTCTAGTTCCTCTGAGCTTAAATTAAGTTCTTTTCAAGTCTTGTTATATTCAACTAGAACTTTCCCTTCCCATGTCACCAGAAAGCAGTATTTCTTCAATATCCTCTTCTAATTGAATACTGAACAAAGACTTCACTCCTTCCCCAATACAGGCTTTACACTTGCACAGGAAAGCATGTGTTCCCATGCAAGGACAAATCTGTCGAAGAATCTGTGAGATTTGTCAATCATAAAACAAATTGACTCTGCTACAATAAGGATAAAACAAAAATTTAATATATGATAAATGTTTGTTTGTTTGTTTTTTTAATTAGTGTGTTTTATAAATATATCGAGTGACTAACAAAAAAAAAAATGAAAGTCTGAAACGTTTGCAGTGACAAAGTTCATAATCAAGGTTAATACAAAGCAATGAAACTTGAATGTCTGCCTTCGGATTCCTTTAAGAATTGAAACCCTTGAGAAAACATTCTTGCTTTTACAAACTTTTCCTTTTTAAGAATCTCAATATATTGCATAAAATAAATTTTTGTTTTTTTGAATAAATCAAATTCAAGCTGTTATTTAACTGTGAAGAAGCACCACACCTTGGCAATGAGCTGCAGAGGGAGATCGTCTCACATTGAAGTACAATGGATGAATTGCAAGAAGAAAATGGAGAACACAATATTTGACTGTTTGCAGCTGATTTGCAGTCATCAAGAAAAACAAGTGTCGGGTGAAAATGTAAAATTTTATGCCAACAAAAAAAAAAAAATCATCAAAAAAGATTTAACCAAGTATGACGGAAAAGAAAACTGAATACAATTTTTCATCACTTAAAAGATGAGTGTGATTAGATTATTTAACAAAATGTTCAGTATTTTTCTTTAATTTAAAAAAAAAAAGAATGGAAATATATAAACTTAATTTTCAAAGATATTAAGTTACATACAAAGAATAATTAAAATTAGTTAATGAACTAAAAAGATTTTAAAAAATAAAAATTTAAATTCACTTCCAATTCAAATGTCATCCCAAGTTTCTCTTTTTTTTCATGAATTTGACGAGCAAAATTTATTTTATTAATATCAAGTCTGAAAGGTTTTTCAATAAATAGTTACAAATTGTAATAAAAAAAAAAATGAACACTAAAACGTGTTTCTAACTTTATAAAAAATCAAGTGTTAAAAGATATTACCAATAATTAATTGGTTTGACCAAAGAGAAAACAGCATCTAAATTACTGAAGAGGGTTTAGAAAAAAAAAAATTCAAGGAAAAATTTATTACCTATGTTAAGACTAGGGATTTTAATTAAAATTTCTAGAAAGATCAATGGAATTTCTCTAGCTCAAATACTAGTTTAACAGCTTCCAAAACATTCTGTGTAACATACGTGGGTTGTTTGAGTTGATTATCAAGTACAAAGTCCCGATGATTATGATTTGAAATCTCTTTCCCTCCATAAGTAACAAAATCACTGTCTGTTGTATAGACACCAGTGCACACCAAAATTGACACAGACTTGTCAGTAATGATTATGTTGTCATCTGCCATAGACGACATCAGCTCCTCCATTGATTCATCAGTCTCAATTGTATCATCAAAGCCTGAAGTTGCCTCATCACGAACACCAGGATTGATCGTACTGGCAATCTGCTGCACCAATTTTTCTTGGCCCCTCTGTTTGGCTGACTGAGACTGTAGGTACCGGTTGTATAGGTTGCCCCCATAAATATCTGTTTCGGGGTTGTCACTATGAAAACAAAACAGAAAAACATCAATTGCAAAAAATCACTTGATATACTTTTCATTCTGAGAACCAAGAAGCAAAAAAATAAATCAGGCATACATTTCTTTGACTTCATTTGAGATATCAAATTTCTTAGTGCTTGAGTGGTTTTAGGGAAGAACAAACAGGTAGCAACTATATTGCAATACTTGCTGATTTGAGAAATTACAACTAACTGAATTGCGGAACAGTTACAATTAAATGCTATTACTTATTCATAGAAGTGGCCTCCTTACAGACGAATTGATTGTTTGATTCATTCGTTTTTATGACTTATCAACCCTTTGCAGGTTATTTAAAGCCAGAAAATATTTTTAGATTGTAAGAATTTTTTTTTTTTGGAAATAGTAATGATTTAATGATACAAGTCTTACTAATTAACCCATAGCTGGGGGGGGGTGTATTCATACCATTCCCAAGGTTATTTGCGCATCAGTGAATATAATGAACCCAACTGGAATAAGAACTTGGCTCTCTGATTAACAATTCCGAGCCATTATCCATTACACCAGCTGCACATCCAAGCTTACAGCACCTGGTATTCCCATGAAAACTGGTTATCAGAATTGGATATATGATATTGCAAAATTGAATTGCCTATATAGAAAAAAAGGCAGTAGTTAGAACTGCATCATCCATAAGTTGTGATTTGATAAGCTGGTGTGGCTATTTTCTGAGAAAGAAATTTGATGGCTTGTTTATTTCTTCCAAATGTCAAACAGTTTACTGCTTTTGACAACCTCTATTTGGATTGGTCTAGTTGTGAAAACATTAGTGAGTTTGAGTACATGTGATTTCAAGTTTACACAAGAATATAATGAAGAATCTTTCTGTCCCTCTTATGGCTTTTGGTTATTAGTATCATATAAGCTTCCCAAAAGTGACACTCATTTTGTATTGTCAGCTATTCACTCTCCTTGTCTAGCTCAGAGCTGTCAGCTTTTGACCAGGCTCAGAGACTCTGGCATAAACCTTGGTTTTGGTTAACATCAAAAGTCTCTTTGTGTTAATTTTTTGACTGGCCAAAATTAATTTATTTTCTGGTATTCCTTTCTTTTTCATTTTTTTTTATATAACAGAAGTTATGCGTGGAGCCTGTGTTATTTTGGTAGATTTATAGTCATAAATAAGTAGGATCTGGTCCTATAAACTTCTGGAGTTTTTTCTCTGGGTTCAGTCTTTTCTTCTTTCTCTCTTTATTTGAATGTTGATTGCTCACTAGTTAAGAAAGTAGTATAGAAAGAGAAGTTTAGAGAGTGAGAGAGAGAGAGATAGAAAAAGAGATAAGATCTTAAATTGAAGTGCAAATGCCTTATTTTAATTTGAATCATTTTTGTTTTGTTTATATATTATTTTTATATTTTATTTTTATTGGGACTCACTACAGGATCACAGTTTCCTTGTTAGATTGAAAATATAAGGGCTGATATAACAACTGATGTTGTTGAATGTAACAGATTTATCACTCAAGATAAAGTTATGAAGAAAAGAAAAACTAGTCTAGAATATAGTGAAATGCAAAATTTAAAGGCAGTGAGAAATGTTAATATGTAAGAAAAATCTTTGGTGCTAGAGTGGTTTCACTATAAACCACCAGGTGGCAGCACTGGTAGCAGTTATTGTAGGACACACAGTGGTTCCAGTATAAAGCTCCCAGAGAAAAAAAAATAAATCAGAACTTATCATCTGAGACCCATGGAATTTAAGTTTTTAAAATTAAATATCTTCAACTACTTGTCTCTATTTAAGTTAAAGAATTAAAATTTGAATCATTTTCATGAGATTTTTTTGGATCACAGGCAACTCGAGTGAAGAAAGAAAAATAAATGTATACATAGCAATCAAAGCTGATCTCAAGATTTTTAGTTTAAAATTCAAGTTTACTCTCACACCAGCCATAAAAATTGAACCCATTTTCATTAACACAGTGGTAAGTAACAAAAACAAATGGCTTACCAAACAGTTTAACATTAATTAAAATTGATATTTACATATTTCATGCCTGAAATCGATGCCTGATTTGGAGTGTTTTTCTTTTTTGAGCTTCAAATGTACATTTTAGTACCACAATAAACAATAGTAAAACCACACATTTTGAACTTAAATATTCAATAATTAGAACTTACAAAAGTTCATGCAAGGATCATTAATAAAAAAACAATATGTCAAACACAACTTCAGTATCATCTGAAGTTAATTTTTTCTTTCATGTAAAATTCAAAGAAAAAAGTTAATTCTAATAAAAAAATTTTTTTAACAATGTATATATTTTTTAAAGTTTCTAAGCATTTTGCTCAATCAAACTCTCTGAAAGCTGATGACCAGCTTTTGGTGCTTACCCAATGCAGTAAATAGTTTGTACTCCTTTGACACCAATGTTCTGGGCTTGAAGACTTAGTAAGTAATCTGCATGGTGGTAGGTAATTTCACTAGGTTTGCCAATCAAGGCCGTGTACTTCAGTTCTCTTCCTGTGATTTTCTGCAAGAAGAATCAGTCAGCATTGTTGAAAATGATACACCCAGCCACCCATTTCTGCATTCAAGAAAACAACTTAGATTTGTTTCACTTGGTTCACACATTTGAAATGTAACCATGGAAAGAGTAGGATTTAAGGAAATCAGTTTAAAGAACAACTCATCATCTCTCAAAAGAGAGTTACATGCTTACTTATTTGCAAGAGAAACAAATATATTTACAATGCACTTCTACAAAGTTCCCTTAAAAAGCTTAACAAGAAGATGCTCTTTCCAGTCAGCAATTGAATGTTAAACAAAATGATTTAGAAAGAAATTTTTTTTCATCTTTAATGAATATATGGAGATTGTATTTTGTTAGTGTGTGGTGTGAATGTTAAACAAAATTGGCTACAAATTTGAAGGGAAATGTTGCAAAAATACTTTTACTTATTTCAGGATAGAATAAATAATAATTAAATAAATTGTGTCTGAAAAAAGGAAACTAAACTGCTTAAGGAATAAATGATTGTGAAAATTGTCATACAGTATTTAACCTTTAGCCCTCTGCATTATTAATATTACTTTCCTTTCCACTACATTCTTTTTCAAGGCTTCTCAATTGCAGTATCCTTACTGTTAATTTCACTTAAAGGTGTTTTATGTTGCCATAGCAGGGTATGACAACACAACTATGAAATTCAAATTCAAATTTAGGGATCAGTGTCACCTTCAGTGACAGGATAAACTTTTTGCACAGCAAATGAAGTCACATACAGAGTGATAAAGGTTAAAATTTCAAAATCTACAAGAAGGTCACATGAGAAAATTGTTTTGACAGACTGTATCAACATTCAGTTGAATGATTTAAAAATGAATGGAAACTAATCAGGGTTTTTATTTTTGCAGAAAAATATTGTTTCTCTTTCGTAATTGTTAGAAATTGTTTCAAAATCAATCAATCAAGTGATACAAGAGAATGCTGTCCTTTTTTGATCGAATTTGAAGACTGATATGAAAGTAAAAAAGAAATTAATTCTTTAGACCAAAAAAAGTGAATTTCCCCCAAAAAATTTAAAGCTAACAATGCAGTTGAGAACCAAAAGTTTAAACCTAAAATTGGAGTTGACAAAGAAGTGACAATTACAGTGGGCAGACCAACAAGTGGAAAATATTGAAAACTCTCAAAGATAATAAAATTAGCTTCTTTCCATTTAACCATTAAATCTTAAAACAATAATATTTATAATTGTTAAAATGAAAAAGAAAATATTATGCTAAAATACTTGGTAATAATAAAATTAAATGATATTTACTATGTTTAACATCTGTTTACATTTCTGAGGTATTGTAACTATTTATGCTATTTACATTGTTTGGACTGTTGTCCTCATTTTTATTGTGAATATGACAATAAAGATGAGGACAACAGTCCGAACAAAGTAAATAGAGTAAATAGTTACTATGTTTAGCTGAATATAATAACACAAGTGTGTATAGAAAGATTGTGCTGCATCAGAATTTCAAGTGGGAAGGTTTTTAAAATCCTGGTTTTTACCTAGACTCAAATATTGACCATTAATATTGGTGAGCAATATGCAAGCATCTAACCTACCAAGCAGGCTACTTTTTACTAGGGCACTTAGTAAGGATTCAATTTGCTACACTAATGAACTGGCCAGTACTATGAACTAGTTCACCATCATGCTATGGCAGATAAGGGTTATTTGAGTTTCAATTTAGTTATTTGTGACTTACTTTATTAACAGTTATACAATTTTTTATGCTAAAGACAGTTTAAATAGTTTTTTTTTTATTTAGAAAGAATTTAATAAGGTTAAAAAATTTCAATCATTAAATCATTATCATTTAAATAACAAAAAATAAGAGAAAAAGTAAAGTAGTAAGAAAAATGGAAAAAAAATTTCCAAACCCTATATCAAAAGAAAGAAAAGAAGTATATATCCAGATAATGGCTGCCACCTCAGCAATGAATATGACCATAGCAAGACATCATTGTAAGATTCAGTTGTGCCTTGATATATATATAAGTTAAGCATCAAGTGGTGCAGATAAAATATGAATCGGAATTTGACAGGATTATAACATAAAGAACAAATAGGAAATGTATTTCAATCTAATATGTTTTACTTTTATTAAAGCTCGTCAGAGATTGAGAGAATACAGACAAAAAAAAAAAAACTTTGGTATTTTCTATTTTGTTTGGGTCAAAGATGAAGACATTAGAACTCCTCCTACTAGACAGACACATATACACAATTATGAATACACATTACTATCTGATGCCTGCTTAGACATGCAAGAATTTTTACAACCTTACATACATGTAAAATTATCTATGATTTTAATGCACATGATATGTGACTGACCAATGAGAATCAACCCAAATAAGATTGAAAATACCAAAATTCTGTCTTTTTGTCTGTTTTCTCTCAACCTTTGACAAAGCTTTAATAAAAGTGAAACATGTTAGTGATATACATTTGCTGTTTATCATATATATAACACGTGTGTAAAAGTCAATCACATGGAAAAATAGAGATCATAATTTAGAGAAATGAACTGTAAGTTTCTTTTAAATCAGATGTTAAGCTTGAATTGCATTTCAGTGTACCAACAATTATTCCTGGAAGTGCCAAATATGGTTAGCAAAAAAAGCAAAAAGACCATGATCAAGTTGATGACATCATTTATCACAAGATTTTGGATGTTTTGTAAAGAATAATATCATTTTGTGGGATTTTTGGAATTATCAATTATTCAAATTATGCACTTAATTGTTAAAGTTGTGAATTTATCAAAAAAATGATCAACACAAATTAATGACATGTCACAACAAAAGGCAATATAAGTTTGTAATTGTAATGAAGAAAACATGTATAGAATTGTAATATGAGACAAACATATGCCAGTTCAGTTAACAATATTAGCGGAACTAAAAGTGATAAGTACAGTCTTTATCTTAATAAGTTCACTTGCTAAGTGCAAGAGATAAATGCATAAAAAAGCAATATTTATTAAAGCAACATTTTCAACAAGTAGATTCTACCAATACCATGATAATTTTGATAAACAAAATTTTTAAACTCTCAAAAGTAGTACCCATGTAATTATCACTGAAAAGGAGTTGCAGGGAGCTACAATTGACTTTTACATGTATGTGTGTGTGTGTGTGTGTATATATATATATATATATATATTGTAAATTAAAAAAAAGGAAAAAGAATAGAGAGTATAGATGATATAGAATTTTCCACATTCCTTCCCCAATTTAATTTATATCCAATCCTCTATACACCACAAGAAAAAATAGAAAGGAATGATGCAAAAGTTTTGAAAGATAACCTGTCAAAGTATTGAGGAAAGTGGAAAGAAAAAAAAAAAAGAAAAGAAAAAAACACCAGTAGATTTATTTCTTTTTATTCTTGTGGTCATTTGCAGAATTTTGCCTCAATTAAGTTGTTTTTTTTTTCCCTATCAGCACATAATCATAGTTAACAAAGCACAAAACCAGTAGTGGGATTCAAAAATTTTAAAAACAGATTCACTCAAGAACAGGTCTCAATAGCAATGGGTTCCCTCATTTTTCCATTGTCTTGTATAGATATAATTTAGGAATAAAGCAAATTTGTCTTGCTCTTATTCAAAAATACACAAATTATTCTGCATTACATTGCACGTTATCATTTTGAAAGGAAAAATAATTAAAAGAAATGCTTTAAAATTTTTTATTCATGATCTTTGATTTTAAAAATTTCCAAATGGTCATTTGATTGTCATCATAGTCTTCAGCTTTTTTTGCTTCACTTTGTTGTCATCAGCACTGATTTTTTGAGGAAATGATTTTATGTAAACCCCCTTTCTCAAGTGTTACAATTGTTTCAGGTGTTGCTCTAGAAGGATATGACTACACAACCAAGAAATTCAAATTTCATTGGCAGGACTAACATTTTACTTGGCGAAAATAGCCACCTACAGAATGCTAAAGGTTAAATCCATTTTTGTTTTAATTATTTCCATACTTTTCAATTAAAATAATCTATTGGTGAGCAATTAAATAAGCAAATAAAAAGAAAAGGCCTCTAAAATTCATGCTCACTGATTTAAACCTTCTGATGCACAAAGATTTACAAAACACTCACAATGGTTGAAAATAAGAGACCATGCAATACACAGCCTACACTAACATTTAGGTTTTATTCAGGGAAAAGAGAAGGGGACTTTTGGCAGCACCAATGAATAACACAATAAAGAATTTGAGGAAATAAAAAAATAAAAGATTTACTTTTCTTCATCTTCATTCATTCCTTTCAATAAGTGTATTGTCATATTAGGACAGGTCGATTTTCAAATTATGGTATTGCACTCAATTTGAAAGTTGGGGTCTCACATGATAAATAACAACACAATATATTTTTTTCAAAATCATTACCATATTTTGAGGAAATGTTCAAAATCATAGCGTTGGAATTTCAAACCGGTGATCATTGAAAGCCTTTTACAACAGCTTTATAAAATTTATAATTTTCTGAAGCTTTACAAATTTTATATGGACAAAATGCATGGCACCAGCACATTATTACTAAACCATTGTACCATCAAATAAGACCTTCATTTACTTCAAAGGGAAATTACACTGAACAATTTAGCTATATTTCGATGTAATATGTTATACAGTGCAGTAGTTTTAGTGTGATTTTCAATAAATAATGCAAATTTAAAACATTTTGTCTTATAATTTGTGTCCAGACACTTTCATCTATTTTTTGTTTTTATTATGATCTAACAAATTTTATTTATTGAGTAGCCTTTTTTGTAATCTTTTACAATTTCTTTTCCATGGTTTTTACTTATCAAATACGGTAAAAAAAAAAAATGCATATTTTGCTTGCGGTGATTCATAATTAGAATTCTAGTTTGAATATATTTTCCATTCAATGTATCTAATACAAAAGATATTAACTTTATTTAGATTTATTCTTGAAATAGTAAAATTTTTATGTC